CAAAGTAAATCAGATGAAAATTGTGACAAAGAAAAAATCAGAATTTTCCTTCTTCTATTAGAATTTAATTAAGGAAAACCCCGTTCACCTTGAATCAGAGGAATGGAAAAGTTTTTGTTATTAGTATTAGTAAACTTATCATTCTTATATTATACAATTAACTATCGTATTTGTGTCAACAGATTTAATTGATTGATAAGGAGAGAATAATTTTTCTTCCCTTTCATTTCTCAATTTTAACTTTTCTCAATTGATATAAACTGATTGATAACCTAGTTGATTGCCTCTCTAAGTCAATAGTTGAGGGAAAAAGTTTATCAAACTTAAATTCAACATAAATGGAAGACTTGATGGATAATATGGTTCTTTTTACTGTTATTCCAACCACTCAAATCATGAACACAAGATTCTACTAAAGAAAATGATGAAAGTGGAAATTAAGTGTTATTATCAAAGTAAAAGGTATTATTATTCTGGAGAATTAAATATTCAACAGATGGCACTGCAATCGAATCTCTGGTATCGCCATCTGGTTGTGAGAAAAAAGAGCAAAAATCTGAATGAATATCGAACAAGTTTTGTCTGTTTTTCTTGAGATAATTTTCTTATTCATTCTGATGATGAATCAGTGAAAAATTTTATCTCATGAAAATGGAAAGACGAAGAATACAGAATAAAGAAGAACAAAATTATTTTATCAGATATTTTCCTCTTTTTTTCTAGTAAACTTACGATTATTATCTTGGAAGTCAGAGTTTTTCTTTTCATGTTCATTTCTCTTCTTCCACTTCCCCTGAAACTATCATGTAATGGGTATTGGATGAAGTGAATGATTGGGATGAGTGAAAAGGTTGATTTCGATGATAATGATGATGATAGAGATGTTTGAGAAAATAAATTGAAAGAAATTTAAAAATAAAAAAAACTCTATCATGTAATCATGATCATTATCTTTATCTTCTCATCATGAAAATGTACCATCTCAGTTGAAATGGAATATAAAAAAATTCCTTCTTTTTCAACTTTTAACTTAATTTAACCAATCACATAAAGAAAAAAATTATTTCTCTTCCTCTTTTGTCTTAATCTTCAATTGTACCAAATATTATCTTGATTCAAGGTATTATCATGATGAAAATGATCATGGTAACAGGAAATACAAGAGATAAAAGTAAAATTCTGAATTCTGGAAATTCAATGATAATAGTTCTTGATATTTTGATTACTGGTGGATTATTAATACTTCATGAAAAGTACAGAATCCATTCAGAACTTAGCTTTTCCACCCAAAAAATTATTCTAATAATAATCAAGTTAATCCTTCCGATTACAATTACTATGTATTAATATCATGTAATTAGTCAAATTAGAATATTCAATTATGATAATTGTATGATTAACTTTGATATACTATCAACAATCAAGAAAGATGAGCCAAGATTAAGGAGTTTGCTTGTAATTAACTATTAATAAGAAATGATGAGTTGATTATTGATTATTTTTCATCAAGTGAATTTAATAATTTTGTATTAATTAAGTTGCTCAAGAAATGAGCTTTGATTATTTCAACTTTTGCGAGATTTTGATTGTCATTTGCTAACTGAATTAAATCACAACAATCAAATTAATCAAATGTTTATTTTGACTGATTAAATCAACTGGATTAGTTTTTGATTGATTCAGATAGTTAAATATGTTTATTTTTTTAGATGATTTTCTGTATTAATTTGTGTGTAATCAAGATTGATTCAATTAGAATCAATGTTTCTCTTAACAATTTGATTAATCATGGAGACAATTCAAGTTATGAGCAAGAAAAGTTTCATTTCTCATCAGAATTTTTTTTGTTCGTCTCTATAACTGATGCGACCTTCATGATGAACTTTTCTGAACTTGAATCAATCTTTGTAGAACCAAATTGTTATTGAACCTTTTGTCTCCTCTATTGGTATTCTCGAACTGGTTCAAAGAATCGTAGTTGGCCTCATTTATTTCATGATGAAATTTCTCAATGGCAAAAATGTTAACCATCAAAGAACGAAAAAGAAACGAAAATTTTTCAAAATTTTCTATTTAATTCATTGAACCAAATTCAGAATCTACAGAATATTCACTTGGAAAATATGCCCTGAACTCTAACCAATATAGTCAATTATCATAACTAATCATTGAACAAGTTAATTGTAATTTAATTTTCTCAAATTATACTTACAATTATTAGATAGGAAGCTTAATTATTATTAATAATAATAAGACGACGGAGGAGTTTAAATAATCATGATGATATAAAATATAAATATTCTTATTAATATCATCATGATAATCAAATGTCAGCAATTGAATTGAAAAACTTTTCAACTAATAAAAGTGCTCATGATTTAATTAAATTGTTAGAAGCAAAATTAAATACAAAGTGAAATAAATGAGATTAGATTTTGTTTTTGTCTTTGGTTGAATGTGACTAAATAAACTAAAATGATGATGATGATGAGGAAAAATGGATGAAGGAGGAAGAGGAAACCAGATAATTTATTTGTTCATGTTACTTGAATTTTATTTTGTAACTTTACAATTAGTTGGAGAAAATAAAATTAATTTAATTGTTACCAAAGTTAAACTGATTATTTTCCTCTAATTAACGTTGATCATCAGCAAAATCGTAATCCCATTGAAAAATATTGAAACAATGAAGGATGATGGAGATGAAGATGCTCATGAACCCTTTTTCTTAGTGCATATAATGAACATTTCCGTTCAGGATAAATAATAAATATCGAAATGTGAAATGAACAAGTTGAGACATTTCCCTGAATTTTGATGAAAAATTTCACAATTTCATGGAAAAGTAAAACTTTTTCCCTTCTTATTTCAGTCAATTTAATTTTCTTCCTTTTTCCTACCTCATCTCTCAGCATTTTGTTAATATTTTGTCAATTGTTTACTCTGTCTTTCCATCTTCTCCTATTAAATATTGAACTTGTGTGAGTATGAGAGAGAGAGAGAGAGAGAGAGAGAGAAGTAATAATTTTCTTTCCTCATGTTTATGGTTTCACCTATTGATTGAATGTAAATACCCTGAGGCTTTCTTTTGAAATATGTTATGAGCCCATCATGGAAAGATTGTTATCCTATGTGATCTTTTTTTCTGATTCTTCATTTTTACAATATTTTTAAACAGAATCAACTGACCGAGTGTCCATCTTAATGGTCAAGCAAAGTTTATTTTTCTATTTTTTTTCCTTACCTTATCCTTGTCATCGTATTTATCATCATTGATTGTTGAACAAGAAGAAACCGATCGAAGAGAAAGAAGAAGATGAAAAAAAAGCAAAATGATCTTTCATCTTGATCAATTTCTATTCTCTTTCTCTATCTCCATCATCATCATCATCATCATCTCCTTCTGAATGCTAATGAATAACTGACCACTTTAATTGATGACATTCAATTTTCGTTAAAAGTTAATTTGTTACCATGGAGATGATTAAACATATTACTTAATAATAATCAGTTGAGGTTATCTCATCTAATTCAATCATCCATGAATTAACTTTACCTTTTATGAGTTTGTCAATGATTATCATGAGCATAACTTGATTGATTATTCAGTTAACAGATTATATTGAAGTTAATCATCTACAGTTAAATTGATTCAATTGTTAATTAGTCGAAAAGTAAGAAAAAAAAAGAAGCTAAAATTGTGATTGTTTTCATCTTGTTTATCTTAAAATTAGATTAATACGAATTGTCAACATATTGTGATTTGCTGTAAATTGTGTCACCTGAATGTCAACAATTTATCATGAACATTTTCATTGATCATTTTATTTCATGCTAATCATGTCAATCCAATTGTCATCTTATTTTATCGTAAATGTTGATAGAAAGTTTGATAAGAATTCCCTGAATTTTACCATCATGTTATTCTGAGGAATATATAAATGAATCATCTCGCTACTCTTCATCACTTGCCATTCAAAATGATTCCATCAATGTCAGGGAAGAAAAAAATAGATAAAAAGCTGAATAGAAAGTTCTGATCAATAAACAAAGACAGAACAAGAGGTCTCATCGAAAAGAAAAAGAAAAAAGTTCTAATATCAACTTAGAAATAGATTGCAAAGGAAAAATTAACAGAATGAAATTGATTAAATCGTATGATAGAAATGAAATCTCAATGATTACGAAAAACATGATATATTTTACCTGAATTACCAGAACTTTTCTCTTTACCATGTTAATTATGATAATCGATAAAACTTGTAACGAAAATTGAAATCAGATTGGTAATGATGTTAATTTTTACCTTTTATCTTCATTATATTTAAGGTAAAAGTTCAATGAAGATGAAGATGATTAAATTTCAACTGATGATCATCATGAAAAATCATGATAATACTTGAGATTATTTTCCTCACTATTATAGTTAACTCGATCATATCATTATCTGTAGGATTTTCAGGTTCATATTTTAAAGGTAAAAATTATGTAAATTTACAGTTATTCATGATGATAAGTTTCAAAAACTGAAACTTATCATGGAAAATGATCATCTTCATCCCTTTGAGATTAAAGAGAGAGACAAAATATTCATCTTTATTGTTCATTCATCTGATTATCTTTATCTTTATCTTGATTATTATTAATAATATCATTATGATCATTTCCATATCTCCATGAAATTCAAAAGGTAATCATGAGTTTTTTTTTGCTTCAATATCGATTAAAAATTCATTGATAATTTATCAACTTCCATTTAGGATTAACATGAGATTTTATCATCTCACAAATGATTGAGTTTAAATCTACATTTCCATAAAGATTTACATGATAATCTCCTTTTATCGTCACAATTAATGATCAAAATTAATTCAATTCTCTATGCCAATCAAATCCATGTAATATTTGATGATTGATGAAATTTTCCAAAAATGGTAAATCATTTGATAAACTTTGATTATTATTATTCGGGAACAATTTAAATTGATTCATATTCTTACCTTGAATAAGTGAATAGATGATTGTTAGTAATATGAGCATCGCCATTTTTGATTACAATTAAGTTTACTTTTCTCTGTCAACTTATCACAATTAGTTTGGTAACAATTTGATTTAATTTTTACCGATTTTCGATTGAACAAAAAAAGTTGATTGTTTATCCAAAATTATTAAACACACACACAAAACAAACTAAACGATTAACTTGTAACACTGAACAATTTAGTATTTAAATAGTTATTGAAACGGTTAATTGTCACAATAGGATGACGATTGTAAGATGAACAATCAAATTCAATTGTTTCGAAGGTTTTTTTTCCTCTTACAACCAAAACATTTCTGTTTATTGTTGAAGTTGATTGGAAAGTTAATTAATTCGGTTAATTGTTTACAAATTAAACTTTTTCTTTTCTTTTCTTTTACTTTGACCAAATAACACTATCAAAAATGTCGAAAATCGAAACTTGCAAATTGAATCAATAAAACAATCAAATGAGAAGAGAAAAGTTTTCACCGAACAAAAGTAAATCAACTGCTTATGGCTTCGAGTTGTCAACTAGACTGAACTTTTTTTCTTTCTCATTTTATTCATCCTCTTCTTCATTCCCTGAGAGTCTCACTCCATGATATTGATCCATTTGGATGCGCATGAATCCAATGAGAAAATCAAAGTTTCGTATTCAAATCAATTGCAATTCTATTTCTATTATTTAGAATACTAGACAATCTCTAATTGCTTGTAAGTTATTTAAATAAATTGCGATCAATTACTGATCTTTATGAATTCAATTGAATCAAAATAATAGAAGATATTGAATACATGTAATGGCTGCAATCAAGTTCTAGATCAGTTTGGTTGTTTTTTCATCGGCTGAGATTCTGCCATTTAGATTCTTAATTATTTAGTTAACCTCAAGCTAATTGTTAGTAATAATTAAAAGCTTTTCATCTAATTGAAGATTTTAAGTTAGCGCTTTTTTAGTCGCTTATAAGTTGCTAATAGCAACAGTTTTTGCTGAATGAACTTGAACTGAATTTGATTGTCAAATCAATCAGATCGAGCTTGTTTGGTCAATCATTGACAAATATTGAATCGACAAATCAATCAACTAACCGAAACTTTTAAGAGACATACAATCTAATTAATCTGATGAAATAATGAGACACATTTACTTGAGCTTTCTAATGCAATTTTTCATATTTTAGTGAAACTGGAACAAAATTATAATTTGATTTTGGTTACACTGAATTATGATTATTGGATCGGCTTCAATTTATTTAGAAAATGAATTGTCACCATGTTCAGGATTCTCGTCGGTTCTCATGCAAAAATTTTGTTAATTGTTCAGCAAATTCAGCGCTTGCCTTGTTAACCACTTTAATTACTTCTGCCTGTAGACCGACTGACACTTTAAGTAGATCCATTCCCATGTTTGTAACTAACGAATTGCGATCTTGGGGTTTTAAAACTTTCCAAAGTTCTCCAGGCTGATGGAAAAGAAAAAGATTATTATTCCAGTTAAATCATTATCTCAATCAAATATTGTCAATCATTTACCTGACTGAAATTGTCGTCATTTAAGCTGTTGTATCGACCAACAGTACAGGGTTCAAATGGTTGCCATGAGTCTGAATAATATTGTGAGGCCGATTTGAATTGAGGACTGTACAAGTTGGGTAGGAAATTGGGTGTTGAACCTTGATTAGAATCGCAAACATAAGCACCATCACGAGCTGTTGGATTAACTATCGGACGAATCGGTGTATTGACAGGTAATTTGTAGTTATTAACTCCCAATCTATGGAAAGGTAACAAACAATTAGTCTAATTGGTTCTCAATTTTTTGATGGAAATAAATTTTTCACTCAATTTTATGTTACCTGTAGTTCTGTGCGATAATGTAGGCCGGAATGCGCCCTTGTAATACCTTATCTGGTGATATAGCGATTCCTGGTATTAAATTAGATGGTTTGAATGCTAATTGCTCCATTTGAGCGAATTCATTTTCAGGATTATGATTTAAAATCAGTTTACCAATCTCAATGGATGGAAATTGATCTTCCCACCAAATCTAAGAGCAAGTATCGACCATAACACATTAGTAATCGGCAATCGTTCACTAAAATGGTGTGTAAATGGACATTTACGAACTCACCTTCGTTGCATCAAATACATCAAATGGAGCACTAGCAATTTGCTCAAAGTCCAATATTTGAACTCGCAATGTCCATATTGGATAATTACCCTCTCTGATTGATTCATATAAATCTTTAGCTGCATATGATGGATCTAAACCTGATATTCTGATTGATTCTTCTCGGGTTAAATTTTGGATTCCTTCATCGGCAACCAGATTAAATCGAGCCCAAACCATACCGCCCGTTGAATTAGTAAGACGAAAAGTGTTCACAGCATAACCTGGAAGCCAACGGAATCCATTGGGTGTACCTGCATCTGAGTAGAGATACATGTACGCGTGAAGAGATTCAGGATTTGTTGCAAGGAAATTAAAACTATTTTCCTCGACAGGCCAAATTCCGACAGGATCAGGTTTTTGGGAATGAATGAAATAAATGAAACGCAATGGATCACGAACAAAAAACACAGGAAATGATAATGTCAGTAGATCAAAGTTCCCACTATTAGAATAAAACTTGATCGCGAAACCTCGATTATCTCTAACAGAGTCTGACGATCCTTTCGAACCGATAGTTGTTGAAAATCGAACTGCTACTTTTGTATTGACATCAGGAACGGTAAACAGCGAGGCTTTAGTATATCGAGATATGACTCTTGTGTTTGTTGGGGTAAACACACCGAAAGCACCATAACCTTTAGCATGAACAACCCTTTCCGGTAGTCGCTCGTTAGTGAAATGTCCCAATTCTTCAATAAACTGTCCATCCTCTCCCATCAAAGGCCCGTGAGGGCCAGCAGTCTCTATATCGAACTTATCTGAAATCGGACATCCATTCAAACGAGTCAAGATCTTACTCTCGGGCTTCTGTCCAGTTAACCACGGGAATTGACCACTACCAGTGGAAAAGGTGCCCAACTAAAAGTTGAGGAACATTGAAATTGTAACAAATTAACTCAACTTAATCATAACTCGTTACTCTCATTTGTTGAATTAAAAAAAAAACTAATTGAAAAGCAAAAGGCCACAACAATTATCGATTGATAATTGATTAATTTTCGATTAGATAAACTAAGATCTATGATAATGAATGAATTTTGAACCTCTCTTTACAAAACTACTTGACCTTAGCTAATTCATTAAGGTTAAACGGACTAATCAATAGATTATGATAAAAATCATTCTTTGTTGATTAACTCACCGTAATTAAAATAGTTATAATCCAAGGGTCAATCTTTTTATCCATGATTTAACTGCCACAATTAAACTAACCCCCTGGTGAGAATAAGAAAGTAGTTGAAACAATTTACTAATTGCTAACAACGAACAATTTAAACAAAGATTAGAAAACACTATTGATTAGTAGTCACAATATCGGACAATTTGAAACTGTTGAAAATTATCAACAAAATGAAACTTGATCCAAACACTGATTGTTTCAAAATATAATTGCGATCATATTTAAAGGTAATCACATATCAAATTACCATTGATTAGGAAGTATCATCAGCATAAGTACATAATTAATTGTTCAATCAATTTAACTACTTGTATCAAAATACAGAAATGATTGATTAGTCGATATTTAAATCTTTGAAGTCATGAAATGATTGAACAATTATTAATAATATTGATAATCTGCTGATTGTTTTTATTGAAATTAAGTGAAAATTGAATTTTATTTAGTAGTTAATTAAGATTATATTTGACGAGAATTGTAAAATTTTAATCAGAAAATAATTGTTACGATTGTAACAATTTAAACTCTTGAGTATTCTGGTCGCAAAAATATTATAATTGAACCAAAATTTTGACTCGAAGAAGAGGAAACAAAAAATGGATAAACAATCAAATGACAATTAAACTATTCCATTATGGATCAATACTGATTCTTAATCAATTTTCTCATGTATAAAATGAAATTTACAAAATTTACATTAAAATTTTGAACTAAATGCATAATTTACAAATCCATTGTTATTATCTGATTGTTGTTGTCCAGCCACTGTTATCCTAAGGTCTTCAATACCTCGAGATAAAGCTCGATTCAAGTTTCTCTGGTCATTTTGAACTTTTAACCTTCGCTGTGAAACATTGATCCAAAAGAAAACACCAAGTGGATAAAAGAGTAGTAAACAAACTGCATGATAAGTTGCCCCAGGCATCGAAGCCATTGTGGCCTTAAAAATTGTCGTACAAAATATACTAGAGACCATTGGACTTGCTGCTTGAATACACGATAAGATGGTGAAAACCTGAGCAATCTCATGATAACGAATGATCTGAGTAAGTGTTGATCTAGCTGAAGGTATGGACATACCACTAACCCCGTAAACAATATAACCCGTTATATAAGATTCCTGGTAACCGATACCTTTAAACAGATTGGACAGTAAATGGGACATTGTTGCGATACCGGCTAATGTTGAATCTTGATAATTAAGTAACGATTTGAATAGAGCAGCACCAAGAATAGCACCAAACGCTTGAATCAACAGTAGAGCTGCGTTAATATTTGAATAGTAACGATAATCCCAATGGAAAACTTTCTCAGTGAATTGGAATCCAAAATATGATTCAGATAAAAGAGAAATGAACAGAATGAAAATCGCAAAGCAAATGTTGATCACCTTGGCACGTTCACCATTCTCACGTTTTCGAAGGCAAGTTTTAAACGTATTGATCACGTTGCTTATGTTGATTATCGATTTAATTGCTTCACAATAATTGGATTTGTGGTCATCGGCTGTTGATGGTAAGATGGAAACTCTTGAGTTTCTTTGATTGTTATTATTGGCTAATTGTTGCTGTTGATTATTGTCTTGGCTCAATTCGGATGATATGGATTTTAATGATGACGATTTGTGAATAATCGTTGTAATGTCACTTTTATCAGTTGATTTATAGAACATACTGTTTGAGGGCATCGAACGTGTTACCAATTTTCGAGAAGCAAATTCGTTGGAATCTTCATTATTGGCTTTTTGTCCAATCGATGGTCTAATAGGATTTTCCAAAGGTTTAGGTTCATTTCCAGTTCCGTCATCGTCGTCATCACAATCGGTTAACAATGAATATACCCAAATGGCTGCGATTAACATGATTATCGCATTAGTCAAGAAAACGCCAATGTAGTTTCGTCGATCAGCCATAAACCAACTGTCCATTGCTAAAATTTTAGCTCCAAGTGCCGTTGCAGCGGGTTGAGCTAATCAATCAACAGAATCAATAATTAATTGTATATTCTAATCCTTGAATCTCTCCTCAACTCAATTCCCTTTTCAACATGATTAATGATGATTTTCAATAACAATCATGATGATGATTGAATCACTCTTTTCGCCAGATTATTATCCGAATGATTTAATAATTAACTCACCTGTAAGTAGAAACAATTCAACTAAAGCAAATCTAATTGATCGATGGCTTTGTGGGGTTTTACGAGCGACATAAGTGAACGCACAGGTAAGTACCAAAGGTATACTACCGCCGATGCCCATTAGCAGAAATGACCAATAAGTTAGAGATAATTCTGAATGGGAAAGTAGAAAAGAATTAAATTTTGAAATTATCATAACAACAACAACAACAACAATTTAGAGAGATGACAATTTACCTGATTTAAAGTAAACACATTGAAGTAACAATGATAATGATTGTAAGATGATTGAAATACAGGGAATCATTAACAAGTATCTTATATGTGATGGATATGAATCAATCCAGAATCCGGTGAACAATGAAATGGCCACACCAGGAATTGTTGATAAAATTGTTTGCCAATTTTTAATTGTTGTTGTACGATCAAGAACAATTAACCTATCGGATTCAGTTACATTTGATGTTGTATCAAAGTTAACACAATAAACTGAATCAAATCCTAATTCATTGATACAAATTTTATCCTCAATCAATTGAGTTGTCGGCACTTGACCAATATAATAGCCACACATAAATAGAAACAGATAAACATCAATACGAAGGATTTTAATTAGATAAACTTTTTCACGAATTAACTTAATCATTGTAAATAAATTTTGTCTCTTGTCTTGATTGTTATGATTTTAAGTTTGCAAATAATTTGATCCAATTTGAACCAGAAAAATTAACAAGTAAACTAATAGAAATTAAATCCAATGGGTATAACAACATAACATAATCAATTAGAAATTAGAAACAAACAAAACAATTAAGACAATTAATCCTTTTAAGAATCAATAATAATCAACCGTCAATCCATTTACCTTTAAACAGCAACAATTAATTGTACAATGTTAATATATGATGATGATTAAATCATTGAAATGTTTTTCTTTCAGTTTCTTTACTTTTTTGTTCATTAACTTGTTATCATGATCAGGGTTAATTGTCTATCAATTTATCTCATCAATTTGATTGATTTCCAAGTGGTGTGTGTGTTTATTGATCACGATGATGATAAAATACTATCAATAGACAATTGAAAAGGATAATATTGAAAAAAAAAATCTAAAATCTAATCAGTTAATTGTTGATAAATTTACCTTTCTTTTTGTATTTGCTACTTTGTTGTTTCCTTTTGTTTTAATTGTTGTTGATTTCCCCTCACATATACTTAGTTAATATAATAATATGATATCGGTATTATATTGGTAATTAATTATTATTATTATTATACAAATGATTAACTCAATTAATTAAACTTATCGCCATCTAATTGTTTCAACTTAATTACTTCACGCAAAGATTATTTGTAATTTCAGAGTCACAATTAATGTTACACAATGAACTTAGATGATTAACTTTGCACCGATTTGAAATGTGTTTTGTCAATTGATTAACCGATACACTTGTAATCCAGATAAATTGTAATTGATTGTATTGATACACATTGATTAACTGATTGTTACCTTAATTGTTTGACCCAATCCCGCGATTCAATTGTAGCGGGTTAATCTTTGGACTTTGATTGGACACATGAGTTGTTGTTATTGTCACATGTTGGTTTTTTTTTCAAATTGGATAATTGAAAATGTGAATGTCAATCTTTTAATTGTAATGGTTAATTTACTTACTAATTGTTGGTGTTTTACTTTTTATCAATCAACTTGATGTCTATTGTTTAAACACTACAATTTATCAAGAGGCCTTCATCTTGCTTCATGTTAACTTTATCTCCAATTAATGATCACAATTGATTATCCATCATCTTTATTATCAACGTTTGATTATTTTACTTTTTCTCAACTAAAAGTGGTTACCATTGTGATTAAGAACAATCTATTTTTTTTTTCTTCCACACTGTAATTGATTACAGAATTAATTCTGTTAATTCTGTTTGTTGTCTCTCCAACTATACTTTCTCTCTGTTAATTATCTCATATTTGTCTTGGTATTTTCACATTCAATTTGTTTTTCTTACGTTGATCAACTTTTTCTTAGTTGATTGTTGATTTGTTTTTTTTTCTTGTTTTTGGTAAACAATTTCAAGGTTAGTGTTTACTTTTTGATTTACTTTTTGTCTTCTTCATTTGCTTATCATCTGATTTTCTTTGTTTTTTTTTGGGTCTCTCATCAGGAACACCATCGAAATCCATGCAATGGCTTCTCTCAAGGAGAAACAATTGAAACGCTACCAATTGAATATATTTTCATCTCTATTCCTTGGCTATGGAAGCTATGGACTTAATCGTAAAAGTGTTTCCTTGGCGATGCCTTCGATGATGGAATCGGGATTAGGAACAAATGAAGCTGGTTAGTCTTCTCAATTTCTATCCTAATCCATATTGTCATGGAAAAGTTCATATCCATCATGTTTACATCTTCTTTGGTTCGATCGTCTATTTTTCTTGAGTGTAAACAACATGATAAATCTTCAGCTGTTATTGTTAATATAAACAAATAACATTAAAATCAGCAGGAAGAGAGAGAGAGAGAGAGAAAATTGTTGCAAAAAATTGTTCATTTTCTTTTCCATTTTGTTGATTGTTTACTTTCTCTCTCCTTCTCTGTTTTCTGTCCATTAACCAAAGGTTTAATTGCTAGCAGTCAGAATTTGGCTTATGCTATAAGTAAATTTGCCGGTGGTCTTTTATCTGATCGTATATCTGCTCGTTTACTTTTCTCAATTGGATTAATCACCAGCGGATTGATCACAATTGTCTTTTCTCTCAGTGAATCAATTCCCGTTTACACCTTCCTTTGGTTTCTCAATGGCCTGGCACAAGGAGCTGGTTGGCCTGCGTGTGCCAAACTACTTCGAGAGGTAAACAAACAAACAAACATAACCATCAACACCCAAAAAGACAATTGCCTTTAAATCAACACGTTTATGTTTACAATTTAAATTGTTTTCCTTCTCCTTTTCCCAATCCAGTGGTATGATCCAATTTCTTTTGGTACATGGTGGAGTTTACTATCTGCTAGTACAAATATCTCCGGTGGAATATCACCTTTCGTTGCTGCCTTTTTAACCACGACCTATGGTTGGCGAACTAGTATTTTCTTTTCGGGAGCAGTTTCCGTTTTCTTTGGAGTTGTCGCATTTATTTTCGTCATCAATTCCCCAACTCAGGTTGGATTAAAAGGCTTTAATCAAAGTTCTAAACAACAAGACAAGAAAGGTAATCATTTATGATGATAACTAGAAGAAGATTACAATTAGATAATATCAACCCTTAGTAACTGATCTTAATTAGATTAGAAATCTTATGTTAATTATGTGTTCAATTTAGTTAATCTTTTTGTTTTGTTCAACTCTTTTCACAGGTAAATCTCAAGGGAAAGAAACTATCGCCGATCTAATTAAAAGTCCAATGTTATGGATCGTCGCTATTTCTTACATGAGTGTTTTCTGCTCCAAGACGAGTTCCACTGATTGGGGTCAAGTTTATTTGATCGAAGAGAGAAACAATCTCAATATGTTGGTTAGTTAGCGATTGCAATTTGTTAGTTCTTAGTTGGATTCGATCTTTAATAATGTCGTTTAAATTAAATTCTTGTAGCCAGTGGATTTACAAGTAGCATTGAGAGCGGTGGTTTCGTTGGTTCCATTCTTGCTGGTTGGTTAACTGATGTTTTTCTTAAACTTCGTAAAGAAAAAAACACGGTCAAGGGTCGAATGCCAGTGGCCATTTTAATGATGATCGGGGTTGCCGTTTGTTTCCATTTACTCTATTTCCAAGTTACACCGGATACACCGAAATTCACAATAGCTTCAATTGGCTTCGTTCTTGGTGCTTGTCTTTATGGGCCAATTGCTTTGTTCGGTATACTAGCGACAGAATCTGCTCCTTCTCACCTTTCGGGTACTGCTCACGCAATTGTCGCTTTATCGGCCAATGGTGAGTAATCATAACTGAAAAGATGACTGAAAGAAAACGAACAATTGATAATTAAAATAATTCTCTTCTAAATTACAGTTGGTGCAATTATCTCGGGATTACCGTTTAGTTATGTTGCCGCTTACTATTCATGGGGATCCATTTTCTTCCTACTCGAAGTGATTACTATTGTCACTGTTTTGATTATGTGTTCATTTGTTAAATTTATTCCAACCGTTAAACGGAAAGCGGCTTAATAAGTGGACATAAGTTAAGAAATTGTATTTTTTTTTGGACAAAAACTGTTGTTAATGTGCATTTAATTACAACGAATCAAACACAATTGTTACCTAGTTTTCAATGTTTATATGATCAAAAAGTTTTTTTTTGGCATTGATGAAAATAAAGATTATTTACAATTAAATTTTTCGAATGATTAATGTTGGTAATTTATGAATCAATATGGTATTTTACTTCCTGTGATGTTTATGGTCAAGATTATTCGTCACTGCTCTGTGCACTTTGTTGACTTTCTTCATCTTCTTGACTACTTTTACCAGATTGGGCTGGACTTCGTTCAACCTCAGAATCAGATGCATTTTCTTTCTTTGCAATTGGCGATCCTGCTTCAGATTCAGAATCAGATACATCACTTTTTTGTTGCTCTTCTTCATCAGCATCTCCTTTTTCACTGTCTCCATCTTGATCTCTGTCACTGTTTTCTTGATTTTCTTTCTCTCCAGCTTCTTGCTGCTCTTGGTCACTATCTTTTTCAGCTTCTTGATCTTCCCGGTCATCTTGGTCACTTTTTTCACTATCACTTTTGTCACTGGCAACACTTTTAGCACTTCTGTCACTTTTATCGCTCTTGTCGCTTTTTCAGCGTCACTTTGATTATCATCACTGGCATTGTCACTTCGATTTACATCACTTTCGTCCTTATCTTTATCTTCCTGATTATCACTACCATCAGCATCTGACTGGGAGTCAACGAATTTTTTGAGAGCGAATTTTTTATCCTTTTTATCTTTCTTGTCTTTCTTTTCCTTGGGACTAGCACCATCATCGGAGTTTTCATCTGAATCCATAACTTTCGATCTTTTCTTCATCTTTTTGCTTTCTTTCACCTTTTTAGACTTCTTTTTCTTTGAAGCGCCATCTGAATCTGACCCTGAACCAGAGCCCGACCTTGAACCAGATTCTGAGCCTGAGTCTGATCCTGAATCTGAGGCAGAACCTTCACCAGATGATCGTTTTGGACTAGCTTCTACATCAGAATCTTGAGCAATAACCAAGGCTTGTTCTCGTTGTTCATCATCTGAACTGGAACCAGATGAGTCGGAAACAAATTCTCGTGACACGACTCGTCCTTTTGATTTAACATCAATTTTAGGTTGTTTCTTAACAGGTTCAGAGGATTTTTTCTTCGACGAATGTTTTTCTTTGTGTTTACTACGACGACGTTTCCTCTCTTCACTTCTTTCCACAGCTCCACCATCAGAATCATCACCTGATCCTCTTTCAACTCTAGATCGTCTTTTCTTTTTACTTCTTTTCCTCTCTCCTTCATCACCGGATCCAACCTTAGCCTTCTTGCGAGGACGAGCATTTTCGTCACCAGAACCATCACCATCATCAACAAAGTCATCATCAGCACCGGCTTTTCTCGATTTTCCTTTCTTGGAAGGTTTCTCATCGGGAAGTTCTTGAAATTGTAGTTTGTTCTTGGTCTGTTCAACGAACTGTTGCCGTTTCTGAATCAATTCTTTTTCTGTTTTGATTCTTTCTTCTTCTACCCGTTTCTGTTCCTCTTCTACTTTCTGTCGTAAAGCTTCACGTTCTAGCTCTTGTTTTCTCCTGATTTCCCTTTCTTCTTCGTCAAGACGACGAGCACGAGCAACATGATATTGTGCTTGACTCAAAAGATCTTGACAATGTTTCGCTTCCATTAGAGCAGCATTCAGATCGAACTTCATCTTATCACCACTGACTGACAGATATTGGAAATATTTGTGAGAAAGTCCAAGTTCGTGGACAGCTTTAAGGACTGTTTGTACATTACTTTTACTATCCTCCAGAACTTGAGTAGCTAACTTTTGAAGAATCAAAGCAAGATTATAAAGAATAACAGTATCTTGAGGTGCTACTCGGCGACACTTGAGAAGTACATTTTTACATTCTCTTAATTTTCCACATTTACAATAAGCTCGAGCTAAATATTGTAGAATCTCGGTGTTATCGTGTTTGTAAAATTTTTTCAAACAATTTTCGTACATTTGAATAGCAGCAACATATTGTTTCTGTTCAACGTAAATATGAGCAATATTCACCCATACATCAGGAAATTCAGCTGTAGCCTCACGAACTTGAGCGAAAACATCTCGAGCTTCAGAGATATAACCCTTATGGGCGAGAACAGCACCAATACCATTTGCAGCGTAAATGTTATTATTATCCATGTGAAGTATTTGCTTATAATGAGATAATGCTCTTTGTTGATGTCTTTTCACTTTTTCTCTATCCTTGTTTGGTTGGTGAAGAGTTTGTAGCCAAACATTTGCTAAGGCCAAGTGAGAATAAGTATCTTGAGCCGTAGATTCTTTCTTTAAAATACGTTCAAACTTCTTCTGACCAGGTCCCCATTCTTGTTTAGCAAAATGTAAAATACCAATATGTGACCAAGCTTCGGGATTATCTTGATCAACTTGAAGTGCTTCTTTGAACCAATCAGAGGCATCATAAATTTGACCACGATCTCTGGCCATACATCCTAATCGCAGATAGCAATCAATATAATTAGGATGTTCTCGAAGAATATCTTTGTAAATTTTTTCGGCTTTATCATAAAAGTGCATCGCCTCGTATAGTCGAGCCAAATTATAGTTGATGGAAACAGAAATACAACCATAATAATGTTCATCGTTTGATTCTTCCTGTTTACATCGATCTAAAGCTGATTCGTAGTTTTTCATTGCTTCATCCAAATGTCCAAGCCTAAAGTGTAAAGCAGCGATATTATTGTAGATCTCAGATGGTATATCAACTTGAACTTTTTCTTTCAGTATTTTAATTGCAGTTCCATAAGCGGATAGAGCACCTTGAAGATCAGATTGCTCTAAAATTTGAGCTAATTCAATCCAAGCTTCAACATCATCAGGACATTGGTCAGTAACTTTTTTCAGAAAGGTTTTGGCCTGGTCTCTTTTACTTTGGGTTGATGATTGGGCATAAAGTGAACCAAGAATTTTCATAGTTTCATAATTGTCGGGATGAGCTTTAAGAACTTTCTCAAAACACTGAGAAGCATTTTCGGTGTCTTTACGATGGATATACATTTGACCCAATCCAAATTGTGGTAGCACAAACTGAGGTGAAGCAAATTGAGTAGCTTGATAGTAATACTGGAAAGCTTGATCGTAGTCTCCTTGAATGTGAAAAGCACGAGCAAGTTGGTAACAACTTTCGGCTCTCATTGCCTCATTCTCGGTATTATGAAAAGCATGTAAAGCAAGATGTTGAACTTTACTGTAATCCTTTTTGAAGAAAAAGTGGTCAGCAAGATGATTAAGTACCATAGGATCAGATGGATCAATGGTGTAAGCTTTTGAAAGCATTTGTACTCCTTTACGAATAGCTTCAGGTGTCTTTTTATTCAATTCCAAAAGTGAAAGTCCAACCAAAGCACCTACACATTGAGGGTCAAGTTGTAGAGCTCTTTCAAATGCTAATCGAGCCTTCTCAGGTTTACCAAGTTTGTAGAAACAATGACCAAGTCCAAGACGAACATCAGCTGGACAATTTGGATTACTTCGAAGAGCTCGTTTGTATTGGGTTAATGCATGAACATAATTTTTCTTATTAAATGCAATACAAGCTTTACCAAGTAATGCGGCCATATTATTCTGAGTTTGGCCCATAACAAAATTAAATTGTGCATCAGCTTGATCCATTTTATCACCCTCAAGAAAACATAGATACGTTTTACCAAGTAAATGATTTTGATCATACATAATTATTTTATCACCAATGGTAAATAAACGATGAGCTTTACCAAAAAATTCCTTCTTCTTGTCACGATTCTTTTCTCTATTACCAAGTTTAATATAATAAGCAGCCAATGTATCCAAAGCTCTCATCATATCTTTCTCGTATTCAGGATAATCAAGACAATGTTCTCTGGGAACATTTTGATTCTTTTGTTCCAGAAAAACCAAAATCTTTTCAACGCAAACATCCAAGATGTGAACAAAGTCTTCATGTTTACCCTGCTTATAATATTCAACCTGAAAGACAAAAACAGAACAAAAAATAAAAAAAGAAAAGGATAATTATTCACACCATTTAATAAAGAACAAACAAAAGAATCAAGTTCATTAGAATTAGAAAAATCAATCAATCAATTTGGATAAAACTTACCGCCAATGAGATCCAAACATTGAGAATAGGCTGTTCTTGCCTCAAGATTTCCAATACTTCCAAACCATCAGGTAAACATTCAATATTCAATTCAATGACTTCATCAATACTATCCCTTAAAGGGATTTCAATTTTATCAGGCATCTTGATTAATCACTGATTGGAATAAAAAAACAGTAAAATATAACAATTAAAGAAGAAAAAACAATTAAAAATATTTAGTCACATTTCAAGAACAGTGAACACAAGAAGAAATAACCTGTGAGTCAACCCAAATGATAAGAACCAGAAAAAGCCGCTAAAGCGGTTAATACAAATTCTAAATTCTACAAAAAGAACAAAAATTGAGAGAACAAAATACATTCGAAAAAGGAACAAAACCACTTTTTTTTCTCTTTTCTATTTGAAAAAATAAAATTCTAAAAGAATACTTCAAATGGTAATTTCATTGAAGAAGAATTAAATTCTAATTGAAATTTGCCAAACTGAAAAAGGGAAATTGTAAACCTTTGAGAATTAATCTCTGTAGTTAATTGAAAGAAGTAAGGAAAAAGACAAACACTTAAGTCACTAAATTGGCAATTAAAATTACACAATCAAAAATAGAAACAAACCTTTAATAATTTCCAGTTAATCCAAATTGAATTAATATCACAATCACAATACAAAAGGTAACAATTAAACAAAAATAAAATCAACAAAAAAAAAACTAACACTGAAATCACATACCAACAATCAATCAGATAAATTCCAACACCTCGTAAATCTTTGAAACCAATCAAATCTAATTCAGTTAGTTGACATTATTTGATCATTTTTCTAATTAAACCCCAACTAATCAAATAATCAAATTTGATTAAAAGAAAAACAAATCAAATCAGTTGAATGATTTTCTTTTAGTTGAAAATAAAAACGATTTAGTTAACCTTTTAGTCGTTAGATGGAATTAAAATCGGCCATATGAGCTTCTTGGTGGAAATTTGGTAAATAAGAAAACATTAAATTACCAAAGTGTTTAAATGAATGTTTGCTTGAAATCGTAATTATTTTAGGTTTTAGTTAACAATTATTGATGTTTTTCCATTTAAATTAATTCTCAACATACACTACAATTTAATTCTGTAAGTATCAAGAAAGATTATCCTTGTGGGTCAAAGTCTTTTGTTTCTACTTTGTCTCCTCTGTGTATCTTTTTGTTTCTCTTTATTTCCTTTTTCTATTTTTTTTCTCTTCTCTTGTAAAATTTGTTCTAATTATTTTCTATTTTCTCTTTCTCTCTTTTCTCTTTTTTTTCTGTTACATATTCTAGAATTTTAACCTGTGATTTGGTTCTCTTTCTCTTTCTCTCTCTTTCTTTTTATATTGATATAAGTAAATAGAAAATTAAACCAGTGAGGTGCAATGGATGATAAACAAAATTTGGAACAAGAGAATCGTCGTCTTCAGATTGAAAATGAATCACTCAAGTTTAGGATAAAACATTTAACCGAGGAGAATAAAAAATTAAAGGAAGCCTATGTAACCATTCAAGCTAAGGCTGAACAAGAGGAAGAGTTTATCAGTAATACACTGTTGAAACAAATCGAAGCTCTCAAAAAGGAGAAGGAGATTATTGCTCTTAAATATGAACAAGAGGAAGAATGTTTAACCAATGATTTAAGTCGTAAATTAAATCAACTATTGGCCGAGAAGAAGGAGTTTGAAAAGACACATCAACATGAGAATGGTGTTCTCATAGCCAAATTGATGGGTAAAATAGAGAAATTGGAAAGTGAAACTAACCAGAAGCAGACAAGTCTAGAGCAATTAAGGAGAGAAAAGGTTGAACTTGAAAATACATTGGAACAAGAACAAGAAGCTTTAGTCAACAAATTGTGGAAAAGAATGGATAAATTAGAAGAGGAGAAAAAAGGTTTACAATTGAAATTGGAAATGAAATGAACCAATTTCCTCGCTGTTTTTCATATTCATCTATTCCCCTAAACTCTATTTCTTTATTACCTAATTTTCTCTCTCTCTCTTCCTTTCTCTTGGTTACTCTTTCCGTATAACCCTTTCACTTTATCTCTCTTTTCAATCTTTCTCTTTCCTCTTTCCTCTTTTCTCTATCTCTCTATTTTTCCTCTTCGTCTTGTCTTTACTCACTTCAGACTTATGGTTTCATGTACTGATCTACACATACACATGGCTGATATGTCAATTTAATTTAAGAAAAAAAAAATATCAATCAACGGGCAATTCGCAGCTATTTTCCCTTAACCAATCAATACCATTACCAACAAAATTATCTAAAAGATTTTCATGTGTATGTATCGTTTTTTTTTGCTCATTGGAGACAGAAAAACAAATAACTCAAATGCTGTGTATCCTTTGATGGAAAGGTTTTCTTTTCTCTTTTTTTTTGCAAAAAGACTTTATCGTTAACATTTACATTAATCTCTATCTTTTTGTGTATCATAATGTGTATCACCATCATTTTCGCGATCACTTTCTACATCGTCATCATCGTCATCATCATCATCGTCGTCGTCGTCGTCATTATTGTTTCCACTAGAAAGTTCAATTGATGTCATCCCTGTTTCCGTGTTTCCAGATGACGTTGATGGTACTGGTTCGGTTGAGCTGGTGGGCATCTTTTCACGCCATTTCTTGGCTAAACCAAGAAGTTTAATATGAGGTCTTGCACTTGGATCATCTGGGAAAATATAATCGACGTATTCTTCCCATCCACCGTCCGATCCATCTTCGTTGGTGATTTTCCGTCTCTTTTTGGTTTTCCTTGGCATAAGTGAATCAACTTGTTGTTTGGTCCTTTCGTTACCATATTCATTTTCAAATTCTTGCCAAGCTTCGAGTAACATTAATCGAGCCTCTTTCTCTTCACCATTGGTCAATGTTTTGTTTGCTCTATCAAAAACGGTTCTTGCCTGAGCAATATTTACATCACTAATTTCTTCATCATCAGCTGAAGCTAACAGTTCAAATTTAGCGAAACTTATCCAAACTTTAACGTGCTTCGTCCTTTCTAATAGCCTTTCATATAAATTTCGAGCATTTTCAAATTCTTCTTGTTCAACCTCGAAGTCGATATACGATTTCCAGATAACCTCAGGCATATCTAATCTATCTTGAGAAATTGCTATCTCATAGATTTTACGAGCTCTTTCATATTCTCCAAGAACGGATTCCAATTCAGCGAATCGTAACCATGAGGAACAATTTTCCGGACAAAATTCGAGTAACTTTTGATACAACATTCGACATCGATCAAATTCTCTCAATTGAATTTCAAGTTCAATATATTCACGGAAAAGCTTATTCTTTGGGCATAATCCAAGTGCAGTTCCAAGTAATTTACGAGCATCTTGAAGTTTCTTCTGTCGTATCTCAAATTTAGCTGCCATTACCCAGAATTTAGCAAAAGTGAAACTTTTATGAGGTAAAAGTCGTAAACAAAATCGATAAACTTGACGAGCTCGTTCACAGTCCTCAGCAACCAATTCCTCGAAAATGGCATAATAAATCCACAGGTAAATGTATCTTCTCCAGTATCGTTTCTCTTTCTTGGGCGGAATATTGGCCACTGCTCTCTCATAGATTCTTCTAATAGCCTCGATGTCACCTTCTCCTTCCACCAATCGAATATAATCAAACCAGGTATCATAATTGTGAGGATTTTCTTTTAAATCTTGTTCATATTTAAATTTACGTTTACTCAAAATAACATCTTCGATTCCTTCTCGATCTCCATACTTTTTCTCATAAAGAGTATATTGTTTAAACAATTCTTGAGATTCATCTCGTGAAAGCTTTTCCAGAGCAAATTTATAAATTGCTTTAACTCTTTCGTGTTCCTTTTGTCTCTCCTCAAATTTAGCGAATGCTAAAAGTAAAGTTTCATCCATATTTTCATCACCGAAAAATTCAATTGCCTTTTCATAAACATCTCGAGCATTATTAATGGCACCATTACGCTCCTCAAATTTAGCAAATCGAATCCAATTTTTTATCTCTGGATGAACGGTTATAAATCGAGCATAAATTTGTCTAGCTAAATCTAATTCCTTGTATCTCACTTCAAAATTGATATAAGTTTGATAGGCTTGTTCCTCTGGTTCCCAGGCCATCCACCGTTCAAAAACAATCCTACAACCAGGAATATTGCCCAGAAGCTCCTCCATGTAGGTATATTTATACCAGAATTGATTACATCTTGGAAGAAGGTGAACAGCTCGATCGAAAACATTTCTAGCATGATTAATTTGACGATTTTTCATCTCCATTTCGGCATAACGAAGCCACAAGGTGATACATCTTGGATCAACGGCCAAAGCTCTTTCATAAACTGATCGAGCTCTTTGTATCTCTTGCTGACTATGTTCCCAATCAGCATATTTAATCCAATTAGCAATGGAGAGTCGATTCTTTCTAATACCATCTTCAAATGTTTTCCTTTTTCTCAATTGATATTCAGCTAATTCTTCAGGGTCAGAAATTTTTTGTTTCGGTGGCTAAAAAAGAAAGAGAAGAAAATAAACAACAATCAATATCAAAAACGATTAACAACAACATTTAACAATAAACAAATCAAATGAAACCAAGAAAATCAAGCGAAAACAATTTGGAAAACAATTAATTAACTTACCGGTGGTAAAATCTCCAAGTCTCTTTCCTTGGCTTCTCTAATCAATTGTTCCGCAGTTATTTGTATTTCTGCGGGTGCCTTGTTTTTCACCTTGGTTTTGGCCGCTTTACCCTTCAACGAAGCGGACATGGTTAATTTGGAGTTAAATCAACACTTAACAATTAAAGAAAAAGTTAAAATTTAAACAAAAATAAAAAAATTGTTAATAAAAAGTAAACATAAATAAAGACAAAGTGACAATTCAAAATAACCACAAAGAGAAAGAGAAACAAAAATCATGTGGAAAATTAGTTACATTTAGAAAACAAAGAGGGCGCTCATTGTGGAGATTATGATTAATTGATTGAATTAAATTTAATTGTTGGGTAATTAAGAAGCCAAAAGTAAACCAAATGATTTTATAAAGAAAAGGTAAATACAATTAACTCGTAAATCATTATTCTAATAAAAATAGTAATCGTCTATCTAGAAGCAAAAAAGTGACCAATAAAAAAAACTATTAATCAAAAATCATTTCCAATGATTAGAAAATTTTTCCTTCAGATTAACTAAATTAATACATTTAATCATAAATCTGTCTGTCATAATGATAATTAAAAGAAATTGTAAATATAATTCTTGAACATTGTATGTATATATATTTAAACATTTCCATGTTGATTAAAGGGAAAAGCGATTAACCAAAAAAAGGAAGAAAAAGTTTTTTTCAAGTTTCTGAGACGCTCGCAGGTTAATTGTTAATTAACAGAGAGACAGAATTAAGTAAAATTATTTAATCAAGTGGAAGAAGAGTCAAACTAATTAATAGATTGTTCCAGATGAGTTATATATATTTATTTATTCACTTGGGTGACAATAATTATATTTACCCTCTGATAACCTTGGTAAGTTGATGAACTGATTATACTGTTATTGAAAGATTATTATTATTATTGAAACAAATCTGGATTCCATAATCAGCTGAGCTAACATATGACAATTATTGAGGTTCAAATGATCATGATGAATACCAGATGAAGATATAATCACAAGTCCTTGAATATCAGTATTGAGATCAGATTCCTAGAAGAAGAAGAAGAGAAAAAAAAGTTTTCCTAATTATCCTTCAGATATTTTTGGTTACACTAATCAGTGATTTATCATGTAATTTCATCAAGTCCATCAACATCATCATATTGATCACCACACTGGACTTGAGGTAATATTCAGCCTTGGAGATGAAAATGGCGTCCAGGCTGATAGAGAATAAGAAGAGAGAGAGAGAGAGAGAGAGAGAAAAAAAGTTCTAATCTCGAAAGAGAAAAGTTTTTCTTGTTATTTGCTAATTCACAACGACAATTAACTTCTTCATCTTCATCAAGGTAATATGATTACAAAGTGATCGAGTATTAATTGAGTTACTTTTAATTTCTGGTAAATCAGATTATCACCAATGTTATCAAATTGTAAGAAGGGGGAGAGAGAGAGAGATTGATAATGTTGTTACCTCACTTTTGGCAAGTTTTCCTGAGAAATGAATAATCATGAAATTGAAATGAACTTTTTTTTTCAATTTAAATGATGAACAAGAAGAAAAATTTTTCATTAATTGCAATTAAACGACATGTCGATTAAGATTTAATTCATTTTGTCCTTCTTTCTAAGTCTGATTTATATATAATACATTAGATTGACAATTTATATCACTTTAGATTTGATTAAACATCAAATTCAATTAGTTAATTGTGACTCGTCATTATTTTATCCTGACGGACATTTTCAAACCAAATTAATGATCAAAATTTTAAACCTTACAAACAAATCAATAATCCAATACGATAAAAACAATAACCACAATAACATTTAATTGTTACAACCAATGGAAATTAATTGCAATAATAATAATAAATTTCATTGAATACAAGAAAAAAGTGATTAACAAGATTAACCCTGATCTATTTTAAATTGCAATTAACTTTCAAATCAACTTCCTTATGCAACATATTAGTTAACATGATCAACAACAAAAAAAAAGTTGCCAGTCTCTGATTGACATTTACCTTGATTAACATTTAAATTAGCACAATCCAATCAATCACAATATAAACATAATATATTATAGTATCACTTTGATATTAATAAGTAAATCAAATGATGTTGATTAAGAAATAAATTCAATTTAAATGAAAGTGAAGTAAATATTGATGAGAGAAAAATTCTGAAAGAATAATGAACAAATCTGTTGAGATTATTATCAAATAATCGGGCTTCTTAATCAGCTAATTTACAAGTTAATGGTTCACAATTTAAATGTCTCATTTGATAATCTCGTTGATTGTGAACATGATTAAGCAATAAGATCAATGGTGATTACAGACTGATGATAATGATGAAAACTGGTCACTCTGGTAAAAAGCTGACAAGGTTAATCTTCATCATCGTTAAAATGAGTTTAGGAAACTTTTTTTTTAAACTTTCGACGATCATGATTATCCTGTTAATTCAAATCAAGAATTAAATCTGTCAACATCTTGTGAGTATCTTGTAGTTGCATATATATTTTAATCATCATCATCATCATTATCATCAGTGTCACATAGATGAACATAAATTTGATCGATCATCATAACTGATTAATTATCTTGAAAAAAAATCATTCGAAATCGACCTTGACAATTTACTTTTCCAATGAAAGGTTGACCATTGATTGACCATCGCTCTTTTTTTGTTGATCAATACTCAATCAGATTAGTTAATTACTCTGGTTTGAAATGAAACAATCAATTTGTATATTGAGGGGAAAAGACATTGAAATTATGTAATTGATTGTTTTTTTCAATGATTATAACTGAATTAATCTTTGTATTAGCTAATTAACTTTCAATTTCAACTAATCAACACGTTAGTTAATCATTTTTTTTTGCCAGATTCTTAATGATAATACTAATTAGCAATTCATTTATTATTTTTCATGAAAATGTCAAATTGGGATTCCCATTAACTGACATTAACTGATTATCTAGTTGATTACAATTTAATTCGGTAAATTGTTTCCTATGTGAAAATGTTCATTTTTAATTATTCATCATCTGAATAATTAGTCATAATAATCATGGTGAATATTATGTAATCATTTAGTTAATTTCTTGAATACAAAACATGATAATCAATCATTTCTTATGTTTAATAGTCTCATCAAATTACAATACCCCATCAATTATAAACAATTAACTATTATTGTTTAATAATTGTTAATGGATAAGATTAACATTTGCAAATTGTTCACCAGCAATGATTGATTAAATCAGTTGATTATCAAAACTAAATCATCCTCAGTGATATGTTAATCCTTGAAGTCTTCTCATTGATTTATCAACTGATTTAATGATCATAATGAATCAAATTGTTCATTAAGATAAATTGTCAATCTATTTTTAGCAATTAAACTGATTATAAATATTAATTTTTTTAAATGTTTGATTTCAAATCAATTTATAAATAGTAATCAGATATACACCTAAGATTAAATTTATTACAATTAGACTCGCCTGATTAGAGGTTGATTAACAATTCTGACCATTGATTGAAAATGATATATACATTTTAATTAAGTTAGACAATTAAGGATTAAATAAATCTCTCAATGATTGGACAAGAGATAAAAAAAAAGTTTCCAACAATCAAGATTAAATATTAATTGTTCAATGAGAAACGTTTGTGATTAACAATCATGATTGTAAACTCAGACCAGCTAATCAAGTAACCACAATTTATTGATTGTTTACCAATTTCACTTTAATTTTGATGTACTACAATTGTAATTTTAATAAACGACTATGATGTTATTCAACCTTCAAGCAATTAACACGACAATTAAAGTCACCGAAAGGATTGAATGGAAACACGTTCATGTAGCTGAATAATAATATTATCTTGATTGTTTTGAATTCTGGAAAAACCATCTCATCTTCAGCATCTTCATCTTCATCTTCATCTTCATCTTCATCTTCATCTTCATCTTCATCATCCTCACATGATGAAAGTTTCAATGTTAACCGGAAACTTGATACTTTTCAACTAGTTAATCAATCTCAAAGTTCATCCATGATTATCGGTTAAATTGTTGATATTCATGTGATAATCTGAAGGCAAACCAATAAATATTAGATAATCATCACAACACCTTAACAATTAGATAATCTCTCTGAGCAATAGCTACTTTAATTAACCCCAAAGTTCAAGGTAAATTGTAACAATCAAAGTTTTATAATTGTGAGAATCATTTTCATTGTTGATAGTAAACAAACCTTGAAATTTGATCTAATCCAAATTGTGAAGAGAAATAAAAAAGTTTCAATCTAAAAGCAACACAAATTTTCATCTTCTCATATTATTATTTCCTAATGGATTCTCAGGTTTACCATGAAATTACATGAAATTGTTGATTTCTAGCCCAATAGAGACTGTGGAAATCACCAGAATCAGTTAATCATCAACTTTTTTTTTCTATGAGAAAAACTTTTTTAGTTTTTCTTCATTTCGTTGATATTTACGTGTCTTCGTTCAGTTTATCGTTCAGGGGAAATCCTGTCTTCTTTTTTATTTTGCCTGAAATTCTGAAGACTCTGATAATTTTGGAAACCTGAAAACTTAATTTGATAGTAATCAAAGTTAGATAAAATTTGGGGAAAATATATATAAATTGTAGGTGAGAATCAACCGGAATCGACCTTGAATTCATCTTAAAAAAGTTACTAATGTTGCCTCATGTTTGGTGATGATGATCATGATGATGGAGCATGAAAATCATGAAGTTAACAGAATAGATATCATATTATTATCAGAAAATTCTGGGTAATTACATGATCAAGTAGGTAAACTGAGTAAAAAGAAACTTTTGATCACTTATCCCTTTGATTCCTGGTTGATTTTAGATGATGAGCAGCAATCAGGCTAAATTGTTATTTTAAGTGTAGTTTTTTTATTAGAGAAATAAAAAAAAAAGTTAATTGCATTTGTATTGTTTCATTGTCATTGTTAAGTTGGTTAATTTCTTATTTGGTCTGATAACTTTTTTTTCACTTCAAGATGGGTCAAGATTCACTTCCGTAATCAGATTAAGATCAGATTAATGGTTGAGAAGATAAACTGACCAGATTGACCATTTATGTGCAATAGGATAAATAAATTGCAAGGTATGAAAATTAATCTCCATCACATAGTTAATGATATTATTTCACGAAAAAACAACAACAACAAATGCTCAGGGTCACTGATTATTTATCTTCCATGTTTTGACCAGTCTAATTTGATTGTTATTCCACGATAACGATCATTATCATGGTTTCATGATTCTTTTCAAATCAATTTACGTAATTCCAGGATAAGAATTACATAAGTTTGCAGATTGAAATTGAAAAAAACTACTTAGTGTTTCCAAATTGAATGTGGACTTTTTTTTCCAGGATTCGGATAATTATTATTCTGACGATGGTGAAGATGATGATCAAGAAGAAGAGGCCATCCTCAGGTATCGCAGGTACAGAAACAGAAAGTGACTTGAAGAGGTTTGACTGGATTAGAAGGCGCCAATCAAGATATTTACAGTAAATATCGATGAGAATCTGGGATAATGAACAAGAGATAATAAGAAGATGAGGATGAAATAAATTAAAAGGAAAATGGTGACGCAGGTAGATGAGGAAACGATGTTCTGATTTCTGGAATTCTGGAATTTTATTCTTTGGTACCTGATAAGCTCATTTAGCATTTTGTCTTAAGATTAGTTCATTAGTGTGATAATAATATTGAAGCGGAAGAGAGTGAGAGAGGAAAAGGATGAAGATAAGACAAGAGGTAGAAGATGATGATTAGGATAAAGATTAGGGATGAGGTTGATCATCAGAATTATTATCAAACTATTTTCGTGAAACTTTCAAATGATTAGATTTCAACTGTAGCGGATTTTTCAGTTATCCGATTAAAGGTTGTCACCCGTAAATTATAAGAGGCCATGGATTAGTATGGTGATTATGATTATCATCAATTTCCTTGGTAAATCAACAAATTGAAAGTGTTTGGATTAATACTTTAATTATCTCAAGGAATCTTAATGCTTGATAATCAACCTTGTGTAATTTATTAATCAACTTTGACTTTTGTGATTCTCCTTCAATTTGTGATGATTATTGCAATCTAAAAATCGTTTACAATTTAGTTAATTGTTAATCTCTCACCACAGGAAACTTTGATTTCGCTTTTGCTACTCAATTACAATTTCGAGCATTTTTAATCAAGAGAAACTTTTATTTAGTCATTTTTAACTTTCTAATTGTTAACCTTGTTAAATTTTCTGGTAAACAGTTAAATGATTAACCTTAATTTTGATTTCTCATAACAATCATCAGCATGAGATTTAATTATTTTTAATTCTCATAGACTTGATCAACTTGAATTTTTAATTGTAAACAAACCAAAAATTGTAAAAGCAGTAAGTTTAATTGTTGGCATTATTTTCTGAATAATAATAATACCAAAGAGATTGGCTTGAGATTAATTGTTTAGATTTAAGGTTTAATTACTTTGCTAGAAATTAAGATGAGCCTCAAAGTTAATTATTCACTATTAATGTTAATGTACAGAATACAAATACTGTAATTAATTACTTATTGTTGGCCTTACAATGAACAGAAATAGTAGTTGACAATTAAGACAAAATGAAGTTTGTAACAATTTAGTTAACACCTTGAAGGTTAATAAACGTTGATAAGGTTAAGATTAATAGGCTTGCATTGGATAATTAAATTAATTGTGATCGCCTACTTGATTGTTGTGTGATTACAATCATTTAATCAATACAATAAAGGGCAAACAATTGTCTTTCAAAGTTGATCACTTTAAGTATTATAGAAACAATTAATTCTTGATCAAATTAACACTCATCAAGTTTGAAAGGGAAAAAATTACCACAATTTAATTGTAATTAATTGAAATTATATAATCACAATTTAATGAGATGGTATTTTTATCTCAGGGTTTTCACAATTAACTAATAAAATCTAATTGGTTAAAATTTAAACAACAAGATTTAATTGTAAACAAAATTGGTGGAAATCCCTTTGAAAAAAAAGTCGACAACAAATTAATATTAACTAATGTTAACAATTAACAAGACATTATAAGAATTGAATCTTAATTGTGTCCACACAATTAAGATTCACATAAATGGTTATGTCCAGAAACCCACACAATTAAATTCAATATTCACAGTTACACTTAATCATGATCATCGATATTAAATGAATCACCAACAGAAAATTCTGGTTAATTTTGAAATGTAAAATTTTTTCACGTAGTAACAATTAACCTCCAGGGGAAATTCATTCTGTATACAGAATTGTATATATAGTAAAACCTACGTTCTTAATCAACCCTGTCAATTAATTTAAATACGTAGGTTGAAATTGAATTAAATTGTTGTTTTTCGTTGGAAACTGTGAATCATTTTCACTAAACGATAACAATCAAATTCATTGATAATGAAAAACGATAAGTGGAAATTTTGAAAAACAAAAACAAAGAAAAACTCTGATTCCAATGAATCGATTCAGTTTCAAGGATTTTTATTTCCACTTGATGATAATCATTCAGTGTTTTCACTTTACTATGAATCTTGATGATTGATTTGAATTTATGAATTAAAAATTAGTCAACTATCAAAGTAGTGATGAGTAACTTGAAGAAAATGATTAATTTTCTTATCAAAAAAGTAGCAATTGTTTTAATTAACTTTCCTCGATTAACTATCAATATTAAATCAATTGAACAATGTGCCGAGATGATAGCACATGATTTTCATTGTTTATCTAATTGTTAATATTAGTTTATCGTATAATTGTTGATTACTAATTTGATTGCAATTAGATTACAACTCAATTCATGTGCTCATTATCTATTAATTGTCTTGGTGATTAACAGATTGATTAATCATATTGGATTGAGTTAATTTCTCTTACTTTGTTGTTTACTGATTCAACTCACCAAGCACTGATTTAGATAAATGATTAAATAATGATAACGGCGAAATTCATAAATTGCTATTAGAATTAACCTAAAAGATTAATATTCATTTGGTAATTGTGACAAAATAATAAGCGACAAAAATGAGACAATTTTTTTCATCAATGTTTTCGTTGATTTTATTACAATTGATTGTAATTAAATCAATTGAATCAACGAGCAGTAGTTTAAAGTGTTTAACCAAATGCTCGAGTACCTTAAGTAATAATGATTGGACTGGTGAAAGATTACAATTTAATCTTGAAAATTCAGACAATTTAAAGGACGAAGCTCAAGAGATTGGAATTGATTTATCGGATGATGGTGTCGGTGTTGTATTTACCTGTGGCAGAAGGGTAGAGGTGAAAACTGATGGACCAGTTACGACAAAATCTTATCCAAATGATAAGGTTAAAGTGATTGATGGTAAATCAATTTACCTGAATGATAATCAACTCTGGTGCCAGTGGACAATCAACCGTGAGGATAATTCAACTTTTTCTCTGGATTTTATTGAACCTGGTCAGTTAATTGTTACACCGACTCAATATCAAGTTACCTTTAATCTTAATGAAACTTTACCTATTAGTCCAGTTAATTTTACTTCATTATCGGATAATTTGGTTGAACAATTTAAAGGTTTTCAAGCAATTGGTAATTCTAGATATTTATTGTTCACAAAAGTTGATGGTCAAGTTAACTTTGCTCTTGTCATTGATTATGAAGATAAAATCAAACAATTGTTTCCCAAAATTGTAACAATCAACTTAATTAGTGGGGCTTATGGTTTGAAAATTGATTGTGATTTCAGTTCATCAATAGTTAATGGTCAATTGATACTTGGTGGAAGGACACTTTGGAATGATTTAACTGGTAGTTATGATTACAAGGAAATTAAAAATAATCAAATAATCAACGGAACAATTTGCCAATGGTCAGTTCCTGATAAAATCAAGTATGGGTCAAAAAATGGACTATTTGAATTTGCATCATCTAAATTTGATTTAGCAATTGTTGCCGATAAACGATTCAAGTTTTACGCTAATTCCGACTTTCAATTAACTTCATCAACTGAATTAACTACAATCATCTCTAAACCTTTAATTGTTATCTTCTTAATGATTACTATGAAATTGTTTGGCTAATTAAATTGTCTATGATTGTATTGTTATCTAATAGCATTTGATTAGATAGTCAAACAAGTGATTAACTATTCATTTAGTGAGCTGATTGTATTAACCACGAGAGGAAATTAATTGTTGTTTCCTTGGTGGTATTTTACTTGTTTCAATCAATCATTTATAGTCATTGTAAATTAATTACATAATAAAAAGTGATTAAATTTACTGATTTAATTGCAATCAAATGATATTTGAAACATAAATTTAACACAGTTTTGAATTTTAATTGCAATTACAAAACAAAACTTTCAGATAAATTGTTTCTATTGATTTACAAGCATATTGATTAATTGCTGATTCGCAATTGCATAAAGCCATTAGATGATGATTAAAATAAATTGTTATTCTTAATTGTAATGGATTAGTGAACTTTTTTTTCTCTCTTAAATTTCCAATCAAATTTAATTCACTGACTGATTGTTAACTTAATCTCGTTGCTGTTTATTATACAATCATTTTCCTGATTGAATAACAAAACAATTAAAGATATTGAACTTGAGATCAACAATTTATATAGTAAAGATCATGATCAAGTTCATACAACAATTAAACGTTAACGAAATAGTTAATTGTTGTAAAATTGAATTCAATCAAAATTCAACAATAGCAGATCCAAAGTCAGACACAAAGTCAGATTAATTTACCAGAAAATATTAATCATAATTAAATCTAATTGACAATACTATTAATATAAACTAAAATTACATTGATTAGATGAAATCACACAATCTACAATTGAGTAAACAATTTAATTCTTATCAACAATTAAGAAAGAAATTGAATTTTCTAAAAATAATATTCAGGTAAACATGTTGTTGGTCTGACGTTGGTAGATTGAATTGAATTTAAATTGTAATTCATAATTAGTGTAAATTATTACCATGTTGACTTGTTATTAATCACGACAATTAATCTAATAGTTTGTTGCATGGTAAAAACAAATAAACAAACATCATCATCATCATCGTCCTGACGTAATAATAAAAATACCATAGATGTTTTTTCATCTTCAACAGGTAAGTGTGGGTGATAAGTCGGTTCAGGGTTATATTTACATCATGGGCACACCATGATGGATTCATAAACTTCATCATGTTCTCATCATCATCATCATGATAGTACTTTTGAAACATTAAAAAAAAAATCTCATAAAAAACATGAACTTTTTTTCTTAAGAATTTTTTTTCTCACCTTCACTTTCAATCTAATATGAAAAATTTTATCGTTTCTCTCCCTCTTCTCTTATGTGTTTTACTTTAAACTCTTTGCTTTTCTCGTCCTCATCCTCATCATCTTCTTCATCATCATCATCGTCTTCGTCTCTTCCCTAGGAGGATATTTATCGTAAAGAAAGTATATTTAAAAAGAAAGAAAGAAAATTCTGAAAAACTTCAACATGATCATGATAAGCTCCTCCTTTGGAAATGGCAACATGATGATTTAAAAAGGGATAACATGAAACCCAGAGGATTCAATTGCAAACAATTTAAAAGCTAATCAACAATCAGTGTAACAAGAAATCATCTTCATATTGAAAACAATTAATGATAACTATTAATATTATTGTTTGAATTACTTTTGGGAAAAGTTTCATTTTGTTTGTTTTTATCAATTTCAACCTTAATAATAAGATCAACATCGTTCACGTTGTTACAATCAAATCAAATCAAACTTATTAATTGTGACCTGTCATTCTTACCGGTTTATTAATTGTCATTGGTGATCTAATCATTGTGATTATCTTCAAGTGAATTGTTCAAAATTGGAGATAACAATTAGCAGAAGCAGAAAAAAAAAGATTCACTGTTAATAGTGATTCTACTTTTAGTTACTGAGAGAGAGCTTAAAGGTTGGAAGAGAATTGAGTGAGTTTAAGTGAGTGAGTGAGAGAGAGAGAAACGATAAATCTCACCAGTGAGTCTTTTGGAAACTTGTTTTACAGGAACCATCATCATCTTCATCATCCTTCATCATTATCAACACAACAACAACAACAACAAGTTAATTCTGTCTCATTTTATGTTCACCTGATTTTGGAAACTTTTCTTGTTGTTACCTCGTCGAATCAACAGTAAACTTGATCCCGTTCATTTAGAAAAGTTCAAGTTCAATTTGATTTTTTTCTTCTTCTTCTATTTGATTGTCAGTCTCATCTTCATCTGATTTAGCTTTCTAGTTATGTGAATCCCTCCTCTTCTCATCTTTTCTTTATCTTCTTCTTCCTCATCATCATCATCATCATCATTTAACTCTATCCAAGGGACACATTTCAAGTAACTTGAAATACGACTTCCGCCTTTTGAGGTCCATCGAGTTGAAGATCACCGATAATAAAGTAAATCAACTAATCACTTATACTTCATTTAACCTTGGACTATTCTGAGAATCAAGTTAATCATTTCTATTTTTGTTAACAACATAACTTATTTCAATTAGTTGATTAATACTTTAACATTAACTCTCAACATCTTCATCACCATCACCATGAGACTTTTGGAATCATTGTGATTTTATCTTTAATCGTTGAAAATTCATTCACATTCAGTATTCGTAAACATGGAAACAAAATTAATTCAATTCCCTCTGATGACATTTCTCTCTGGTTTTCTGATCATTTTGAACCAAAGATCAGTGAAACATTAGCATTATCATCATCATCTTCTTTATCCTCATCACCTTCATCATCTAAATCATCATCAGTAACTTATGATGAAGAGGAACATGTTAACGACAATACAAATAGTGATGATGGTTTACCAATCAGATCATTTTCTTCATCGTCCTCAACTGAATCTCGTCCAGTGATTCCATTGAAAAATTCATCAGAGGCAATTCCATTCACGACAGTTGATGCAACCCTGAGTATCGATGGTCTCAAGGAACCAAATTCAGGTTCATCCGATAAAATTGAAGAAGGTGTTGGCCCAGCAGTTTCATTTGAATATGGTTCAGATTATGCTGAAAGTGAAACAGGATATTCATCCTCATCCCTTGGACCTGAAGATGAAAATAACTTTGAAACTGGTGACCTTAAAATTGAGATAAGTGACCTTAAACCAGTTTACATTAAACCACCAAGCGGCTTTAAGCCAGTTCTATACCCTAATCGTGAGATGGACGGAATTCACCCAATGGGCTCATCTTTCTTGAACGATTTTACACCCTCACCAACCAACCTTCAACCCAAAGTAACTTTACCACCTCCTAAAGAACCTTATCCATACCCTTATCCCTTTGGTTTAACCTCATGGACACTCGGTGGTATTCGTGGTATTCAACGAGGTGGTTTCTGGGAATCAATGGGCTCCGATGCTGCTTTAGGTCTTCCTGTCCGTCCATTTAAGGGTAATCCGGTTTCCGTAGTTGAATGGGTTAACCTTGGTGATGGCACAAAAATGGTTAACAATCATAACAATAACAATTACAAACCTCCACTTCCACCTCCGGTAACATCATCTCTAGAATCAAATCCACAGGAAGTTTCATTTTCATCTTCCTCTACAACATCATCAGGTAAACTTCCGTTATCTTCTTGGGTATTTGGTGGCCTTCGTCAATTCTCACCATTAACTTGGCAAATGCCTCCAATGGTAATAGAAAAGGTTGAATATGTACCTTTATCATCATCATCATCTTCTTCTTCTTCTTCATCCTCATCATCTTCATCCTCTGATCCATCAAAATTATCACCAAATATTAACTCATATTGGATAATATCCGATAATGACCCAAGTCCTTCTGAGTAAAACTCTGAGAAAGGCAATTAATCACCACAAAATTGGAAACATTTATTTAAATGTATTAATTTGATTCCATTAATCATATTTTTAAATCCACTGAATTAACTCATCATCTTCTAAATCATCATCATAATCATCATGAGATCAAGAGAAAAAAAATTTAAAACTTTTGTTGCCATTATTTTGATTGTTGATAATCAGTATCAATAAGAAAAAAAGGAAGAGATTAATTTCATCATTTTAATTGTTAATTAATCTTTTAATCTCTCTCTTTACCTTTAATTGTTTATGTTGATTAGCATTCACATTTTCTTTATTTATTCCTCTTTACTCTTTACAAGAAAACATAAATTTCATTAATTGTAACCATTAATTATCTTGATCATCATCATCATTTTACCAATACACTTGATCATCAAACAAACAACTAAATCAATTTTAATCATTTCTTGTTATAAACGAAACAATAAAAAAAAACTCCAACAATAACAATCATCATTTTTAATTGTTAAATTTTTCCTCTAAATTGTCCAAATTCTTAATTGAACACAATTAACTGAGATTACAATTAACTTTACTCTTTAGATTCTTATGTTGATTGTGTTACGAAAAAAATATAATAAACAAATACAATTCAAGTTGATTAAGTGTAAGATTACAATTGATTGTTAATTAGCTGATTGATTGTTAATAAGATGAGATGATATTTGATATTTGCTATTAAATCAGAGCAATTGAATTTTTGTTCAATTGTCCTTCGTTTGAGTATTTATCTGAATTAGTAAATTGTTGACCGAGAGAGAGAGAGAGAGAGAGACAGAGAAAGAGGTTAAATGATTATGATTACCAATTCTATGGGGTTAATTACTCTTAATGTGATTAGTTGATTGTGACTGATGATAATTATTGTTCTAATAGAGAGAGGGTTAAGTGAGTTTATCTGTTTTTATGAACAGGGGATAAGATTTTCAAAGTGAATTCATGGGTTAGAATTGTTTTAAAAGAATCGAGTGAATCAATGATTACGAAAAAAAAATGATTGATGAGCGATTCAGTTATGAAAAGGGATCAGGTTCATGGCCATTCAACTTCATGGTAAATCAGGGGAATCGGCAAAGAGATTGTTTATCTTGTTAATCTTCATTAATGATAAATGGAAGATGAAAACTATACTAAGAATGAGAGAGAGAGAGAGAGAGAGAGAGAAAGAGTTACACTGAAAAAAATGAGAAGGGTGGAGATGGTGAGGAGGAGAAGAAGATGAATTCTTATTCCATCATGATTATCGTAAGAAAAAAAAAGATTATGATGAATATTATTCTTATATATGAATTAAAGAGTTGGACTGATGGATTAGAATTGAGTTCAGGGATTCATGTTTAGCTTTTGGAATAGGAATTAAAAGATGATGATGATGATGGAAGAGGAAATTAAGGTGAGTAAAGGAGGTGAGGGTGTTTTTAGAGTTAATTTTAGATGAAGTGATGGTCAGATAAGATGAAAAGGTGACCAAGATAACAAAAGAATCGGAATTAAATTGTTAATTCTTAATGTTGACCACAAAATTCATTGATTAAGGAAGAGAATCAACATTAAACTAGTCACGGGTATTTTAACGTGGTCTTGGTTCCGGACAACTTGATTAACATGATTAACGTTGATATTAAGATGCTCACTTCATGCCTACGAATTAGAGTTAAATGAGTTTCAAATGTTCATTTGATTTCCTATTTACCTTTTAGGAGATTTGATAAATTGTTACATTTTCAATGAATCATTTTAATTGTGTCTAATTAAAGTTTAAGGTAATCATCCCTATTAATGGTTTCTCAAGAATCAAACAAGGGCCAAATAACCAATTGGTTAAAATCCTTAATTGTCTTTAGTTATTGGTGAATAACCTTTTCTTTTGATTACCTTTTCTCAGTCCAAACTTGGTAAACAATTTACTAATCATTGAAATAAATTAAGAGAAGATCTGAAGCTTTAAAAAGGAAAACAAAACAAATCAGATTAAGGTAAAGATTGAATCAAAAATTGATTGGAACAATTAACTAAAGATTAACAGTTATTGAGAAATTAAAAACTTTTTTCGCGATCCAAGTTACTAATGACATCTATGGGATTCTATGGGTAATGTTAACCTTCAGTGGAAAATTTTTAATTGGAAATTAATTTAGATTAATCTTAATTGCGAATCGTTTGAATTATTAATGATGAGATTAAGTGATTTGTGCTATTAATACAATTTTCTTACTTCTTCTAGAATGTACTGGTATGTTGACAGTTTAAGAATTAGTAAAGGAATAATGATCTGCTTAATTGTTTTTCGTTCAGCTCAATTTATTCATAAACGCGGAAAACGATTAGATTGAAGTTTGTGAATCGAAATTGTTTCAAAATTAGTTAATTATCACAATGAGTCTTGAACTTTCAATTTTTGTTTGAAGGCAGATTAAGAAATGTCTTTTTTTTCCTCGTTGATTTTGTTTCGTCTTCCTCTCGTTTTAAATTAATCAGGCAATTGTTTTGGGAAAGTCACAGAGATGATTGAAATTTTTACAAATTATTAATACAAAAGCACCAAAATCTTTTTTGATCAAAAGTTGGGACAATTGGATTGATCAACTTTTCATCTCGGGATTTAAGTTAATCCAAGTCCTCGGGTCTGACAGGATGGGGCAAGGGTATTATTGATTTCTTCAATTTATCTCTGGATAACGCTTTCCGCATATCTAATAATAGATAATAATTAAGACAACAATTAGAATTTGTTCTTACATGAGAACGAAATAGCTGTAAAAATCTTACCAAAAGCATCTTCATCAGGATCACCAATGTAATAGTCAATAACCCTACGATAAACACTGTATCCTAATCGTGTGTACATATCGACGGCCACTTTATTTGATACTCGAACAAATAAATCAACAAAGTAAGCTTCTTTTCTGGTAAGAAGATAACAATAGATTAGGATCTTAAAATAATGAACAAAGTGAGAAAGACAAGAGAGAGAGAGAGAGAAACAGAAATGATCCTTACTTTTCCGAAATTTCTTCAAGACCTCTCATTAATTTGGCTGCAATACCCAGTCGTCGATACACATGGTCTACTGATAGAGCAGTGACATGACCTCTCCAAGATTCACCAGTTCCTTCAATCTTACCCATGACTTAAATATAAAAAGTGACCACAAATAAATAGTTATAGTAATTGATTCTATAGAAATGAAATAAAATTTTCATCAGTAAAAAAAAACCTACTGTATCCAACGAGTTGACCATCAGGAGCTTCAACAACTTGAAAATATTCAGGCCAATGACCGATATATTGTAGATAAAAAGATAATCCATATGTTTCAGTCCATGGATCTAAATTACTGAAATTATAGAAAATTAATTAATAATAAAAAAAGCGAAAAAATTTTCAAACATCAAATTCAACTTACATGTTATTATATTTAAAGAGATCTTCACATTTGAATGGTCTAATGTTGGTCATTTTGTAATCAGCTACCAATCAGAGGACAATATCTACATAAATTCAAACAAACAAGAAGCAAGAAAATAAATAGTTAATCAGAAAAAATCAAATAGCTTCAAGGGAATTTACCAAGAATTAAAAAGAAAAGAAAAAAAATCATCTCAAACATGTGAACATAAAAAACAAATGAAATTTCATAGAAAAAAAAACCCAAACTAAATTCATCAATAGAATCACCACCACCATCAACAAGATAACACAAAGATACTGAATTAAATTCCAAAAGAAATCAAATTACAATAAAATACTAACCTTAATTGTAATTAGGAGAAAATTGACCAACAAAAAAAAATTAATTAAAAGAAAATTTTGTTTCTTTTCAAAATGTAAACAAAAGTTCTACAAAAGTGGCACCATCTATGGGATAGAAAAGAGAAAATAAGCAAAGATAATCGAGAGAAAAAAATTCGAAAAAAGAGCCAATTGAATAAAAGAAAAAGAGATGGAGCCACTAGAAAGAAATACAATAGAATAAAATGGCGACGAAAATACTCTCTCTTTCTCTTTCTTTTTCTCTTTCTCTCTTTCTAATTCTCTCTCTTTGCCTTACCAACACCCTTTGGTATAGTCTCTCTCTCTTTTCTCTTACCTGACTTTGGGTTTCTCTTAATGTTTCTGTCTTTTCCTCTCTTTCTCATTTCTTATTTTTATCAATTCTTCGTTCTAAATGTTGACCCTTATCCCTTTTTTTGGTTATTTTCTTTAATAATCTAAACATTTTTTTTATAATTTATTCTCATTCTCCATAAATTATCACCCAGAAAAACAAAACTATAAGTAACCATGTCTAATAATATAGTTTGTGACGGTGGTGGCACTGAAGTGGAGACAATAAATGAACTACAAAATTATTTACAGTCTTTCAACAAGGAGATTGGTGAGACGACGGTTAGCGCCACTGATGCTAATAATCAAACTACACAACCAACTTATTATACTATTGAAGCTTCACAGGTATGTTAATTAACTCTCTTTCATTTAAGAGAATTAAATTGTTCCTTAAAAAAATCATAATAAGAATCTCCATTTTTATTTCTGTATTTTTGTCCTACTTGTGCTTCTTACTCTCTTTCTTTTCTCTCTTTCTTCTTCTCTTTCTCTTTCTCTTTATCTCTCTCTCTCTCTCTTCCTTACCAACAACCCTTGGTATAGATTGTCGTCTCTCTTTCTTGCCTGTTTCCCCTGGTCTTGGGTTTCTATTAGATTTCTGTTTTCTTTTTTTCTCTTCCTATTCATCGTTCTACATGTTAACTGAACTTACATATCCCTCTCATTTTTATATAATTTTTATTCCTTTTTGCTTTAGTATTCCTACGGTTTTGTATCTTTGCTAATCCTCGCTTCCATCTTGGTCTCTTTTTTGTTTCTCTCTCTCTCTTTCTCTTATTTGATTGAAAAAGCAAAATGTTAACGCTTTCTCTTTCTCTTCTCTCTGTCTTTTTTGTTTAGGCCTTGTTTCCTTCTTTCTCTCACTCATTCAAGCTTAGATCTCTCATCCTCCAACTGCTGCTTTGCTCTCTTCTCTCTCTCTCTCTCTTTTCCCTCTCTTTCGCTTATAGCCTCTAATCTTATATTCCCTCTCTTTCTCCTCCTTTATTCTATGTTTATTGCTCATCTTATATTTATTTTCTACTAATTTATACTCCGAATGACTAGTTGTCAGTTATCTAACACCTTTCTGTTTGTCTACATTACTGTGTTAATATACTGCTACTTCAGTAATCTGTTTTTACTTATGCTTTCTCATTCTCTCTTTTTTTAAAGATTTTAACTTTATATTCGTTAATCTTAATGAGCCTCTATGTTTTACTTTCATAATTCCATTGACAGGTATTGACTCAAAATGGCAGTGGAGCAACAGGAACGAGCGTTGTTGCTGCAGCACCCGGTACTTCGGCTGACGGTACCGGTTCATTTCCTACTTTGGCTCTTGTCCCTGATTCAGTTGGAGGCTATGTACTCATTGTTCAACAACCAGCGGGACAAGAGCAGGTCTCAGCAGGTTCATTGGTTGCTAGTGCAGGGGGAACCTTAGCTTTGGCACGAACTAGTGACAGTGGTTAGTAACACTACTATTGCTTTTGTAATAAATTTTTATTCGACTGTTCAAAACAATTAATTGATACTTAATTTACTCTGTTTACAGAAGTCAAAGCTGACCAGATAGTTGAAGAGAGTGTACCTCAGCAAGTTAAACAAGAAAGACTGGAAATAGAAAAACCCAATGACATTTCTGTTTATGATTTCGATGAAGGTGAGATTTTTAATGATTTAAAAACAAGAGCATAATTTAATTTCCATCGAAACCTATTACAATTACAGTTAATCCACCACCTAGTTCGGGTGCTATTGAAGAAGAAGAACCAGAAGAACTTATGGATAATGAGACTGATGACATGTTACCATTGGAATCTGGTGAAATGAAACCCATTCTTGGTAAATTTGACACAATGAATACAATCATAAGTTTGTTGACTAATGAAAATTTTCCATTTCCTCAGCTACTCCAAAACCTAAAAGAACCAAGAAAAGTCCTGCAACCACAGGAAAGAAGCACAAAATATCAACACCTCAAACTCCTTTAAATCCAAACTCTCATATGTGTAACTACTGTAATTATGCCAGTAACAAACGATACCTATTGTCACGGCATATGAAATCTCATAGTGAAGAAAGGCCTCACAAATGTGGTATATGTGAACGAGGCTTCAAAACAATAGCATCTCTCCAAAATCATGTTAATACACACACTGGTGTACGACCTCATGGCTGTAAATACTGCGATGCTGCATTCACTACATCTGGTAATTAAGCAAATTTTGAAACATTTGTTATTCAAATATTTTCTAATTCTCTCCCTCTTTACTATTTATTTAACAGGAGAACTCGTTCGACATGTACGATATCGACACACTCATGAGAAGCCTCATAGATGTCCTGAATGCGATTATGCCAGTGTTGAATTATCTAAATTGAAAAGACATATGAGATGTCACACAGGAGAAAGGCCTTACCAATGCCCTCACTGTACCTATGCCAGTCCTGATACATATAAATTAAAGAGGCATTTAAGGATTCATACAGGGGAGAAACCATATGAATGTGACGTTTGTCATGCCAGATTCACCCAAAGTAATTCGTTGAAAGCTCACAAACTTATTCACAGTGGGAATAAACCGGTCTTCAAGGTGAATAATTTGGTCTATAAGAGTCTCCTTAATAATTACTAATCTCGTATTTATTTTCTAATAAAACAGTGTGACCAATGTCCAACTACTTGCGGTCGTAAAACTGATTTAAGAATCCATGTTCAAAAGTTACATACCAGTGACAAGCCTTTGACATGCAAAAGATGCGATCAATCTTTTGCTGACAGATATTCGTTTAAAGTAAGTTTATCAAGAGCAATTGTCTTTTTATTTTCATCAACACTGATGCTCATTTTCACAATTGTCTTGTTCTCCCTCTATCTACATCTTATTTTTTTTAGATTCATCTAAAAAGTCATGAAGGAGAAAAATGCTTCAAGTGCGACTTGTGTAATTATGCCAGTGTATCCGCTCGACACTTGGAATCCCATATGTTGATTCATACTGATCAGAAACCTTTTGAGTAAGATTAAAATGACCTCAACCTTATTGTATAACTTTGATTATTTTTTTTCCTCTAAAACACGAATCATCTTTTATTCTCTCAATTCTCAGATGTGACGAATGTGACCAATCTTTTAGACAAAAACAGCTTCTTAAGAGACATAAAAACTTGTATCATAATCCAGAGTATATTCCACCTCAACCAAAAGAGAAGACGCATGAATGTCCTCACTGTACTAAAGCTTTTAGACATAAAGGTACTTATTTAGGGGGGAGGGGAAACATCAGCATCTATATTGATTATACGATTTAATTACTAACTTAACTTTTTCTTATTCTTCAAGGTAATTTAATGAGGCATCTTGTTGTTCATGATCCTGATGCTTACAAAGATGCCAATTTCGATTCAAGTAGTCGAATGAATGACAGCCATCAATTGATTGACGAAGAAAGTGATGAAAATTCACAAATGATTTTGCCAAACACCGATGAGGAATCATTGGATCCACAAACTTTGCAGTTCACTTTAGACCCACAAACTCAGCAAATGATTTCCGGCGACCAAGTTGTAGTCTTTGAAGTTGTTCAAATAAACAATGAAGAAGAATCTAACTCGCAAAGCTCATACGCAACCTTAGACCAAAGTGGTAACTCATCAGCTATCATTCTGGATCCATCTTCCGGAGCTGGTGGTAAAACTAGACGAGCTATTCTTACATCTGGAGGAAAACTCCGTGCATCAACTGTTAGAAATGCCTCCGTTCTCACATCAGCAAACGGTAATTCCTCTAAAGGTAAAATGTCAAATGAACTTTTTTTTATTATGCTTCTCATGTCTTGTTTACCCAATCACTGTTTGAGTTCACACTTTTGTCTCTACTCTTTTTTAACCAATGTTTTTGTTTTATTTTTGTTTTCTCTAGAAAATATTATTATCCAATTACAAGCCGAAGACGAAGAAGCTGCTAATGCAATCCAACCTGACAACATTATCGATGATCCTGACTACGCTCTACCCGGCAACAAAGCTGCTAAATTAACTTCTAATCTTCCTGTTGCCACAACGCCTGTTGTACCTCCACCGTTGGTTATTCCAGAAGACACGAAGCAGATACGTGATCAAATTCAGAAGCAAAAAGATTTAGCTGAATGTTTTGGTTTTAAAGATGATGATGAAGAAGATGAGGCAATATTATCAATGCCTGCAGCTCATGCACAATGAGAAGACTAATATCTACTATTTTTCCTTTAAATTTATTTGGCACTTTAATCGTCATAATTTAAAAACAGCGAAACAAGAAAGAGCGATTTGAATCGTGATTAAATTTAACTTGACTAGTTTTAAACAATTACAAAATCTAATCCTTTCACATAAACACACACAACAAACACACATACACCACACAGGATTAATTGATTGGTTTTTTTTTGTCACCAGTAATTTAAAGATACTGGAATCAATGAAACAAACAAAACATTGCTCTCTTTCATGTGAGAGCTCACAGTTCAAGGATAAAAAGTTAATCCAGGAACAAGCTAATACCACAGTTATACATATACATATAACATAATATACTTGTATGATTACACGTATATAATGTCATCATCATTTATAATCGTAATCATACATCCATCAAATATCAAACAACCAAATAGCTCGACACTAAAGTTCATCATTTCATGGAAAAACACCAAGAGAAGGAACCATTTATGAACTAATAATGGAATATGTTGAAACAAACTTGTTTACATTCTTGTCTACATTTTCAATCCTTTAAAACTTTTCGCTCTCTCTCTCTCTCTCTCTCTCTCTCTCTTCCACTCGAATCAATTCTGGAAAACCCACCTCAACAAAATATTTAGTTGTTGTTTTGTCAAGGGCCAGTGAGACCTTATCTATTTTAGAAAATAAATTTGATTGATGTAATCAGCTTTAATTGCATTTAAATTTCGGTTTAATTACTTGCAACTTGTAAATATCAATCAAACTAATGATAACTTTTTCTTTTACAGTTAAACCAGAAAATCTTTTTATTTGACTAATCTTATTGTACATATACAAACAAACAGATTGGTAATCTTTTAATGGAATTAAATTACATTCAAATTGACTGGATTACTTAAGTAAATCGATAATTAAATCGAAAGTTGGACTTAATTTCGAATCAAATTTCGGCCGAAAAATCAACATCTTTACCGGATCGACTTTGCTTTGGAATCTGGAATAAAATATCTTGCAGTGAACTTGATCTTCTAATAAAGTGTCGTCTCGATGGATTGGAACTTCTTGTTGACAAGTTTTGCTCATTTGTCTTCATTGTCATCGAATCATTTGATGGCCTTTAACAGTTGATCAATTGATTAGAATTAAGAGAATTAATCATTTTTCAGAATTTCGCTTACCTATCAAAGTATGTTGATCTACTGGTTCGTAATGGATATCTTGAGACAGAGTCAATCGGTTCATCGTTGGACATTAATCGCATCAGTTGCTTGGAACTGTTTAGTTTGGTTGTTGAATAATCACCAGTTCGGCTTGATGGTCGATGTAAAAATTGAAATTCTGGGAAAAATTCACCATTAATATCAGGAGAAGCTGAAAATGTAAAAATTTAGAAAAAGTTACGAAAAGTTGATCAACTCTAAATTGTTGACAATTAACCATTTTCAGATACTTACGCGTAAAAGATTCATCTTCATGATCACTTGTTTCACTTTCATCAACCACCGATGACATTCTGGTTAAATTCGGGGGTTTTACCTGTTGTAGAACAGGTAAACCAGGATTATCTCTAATTGGAAAACCACAAAGATTTTCAATCTTAATCCATTTATCTCGACAAATTTCAATTTGATTAATTAATCCAGTTAATCTAAGCCGAGTCGCCTTTAAATCTTCATAATAATGCTCTGATAATTTTCGATTGGTTTTCTTACGTTTACCTCCAAGCTAAAAAAAAGTAACAATTGCAACTCATTAATTCATCAATCAACCTTCCTAATTGTGTGATGACATTTACCTTATTCTTGAGTTTAATTAATTCAGCCTCATATTGAGTTTTTTGCTCGTTGTAGTTTTTATTTTCAATCTCATAAGTAATTTGAAGCCATCGTTGTAATTGAATTTTCTGCTGTTGAATCCTTTCAAATGGAGTTTGTGACAACATTAATTCAGCCTTGGCCAAAGATCGTCGAGTCGCAGCGATCTCTTTGATTAGCGAAGATCCTTTTTCCTGTAACGATTGATCCCGTTGGTAAACTAAATCGCTCGATGATTGTGACCTTAATATGGAAGTTAAATTTTCCGTCTCATCGATAACCTGTTGTTTACCCTCTTTAGTTTTTTCCAATTCCCTTTGAATGGTTAAAAGTTTATCTCGAGATTCCTGTAAAGTGGACATTTGTCGGAAAACTTTATCCAATCGATGTTGAACATTACGTCGTTGATTAAGAACAAACCAAAGGATAAACGCAACTCCAATTAGAACTGTGATTAAATATCGATCAAGTAAAAAGCGATCATTTGAAACGCCAAACAAAACGGCTTCAATTGCATTTAAAGTTAATCGCTGTCTATCTAATGGATCAGTTATCTTTAAGATATGAGTGGCAAATGCTGGATTAGCAGCAATCCTATTTGATTAAGATAAAAAATTGATTGATTAATTAATCAGTTGAGTGAAGAGAAACAAAACAAATTGAAATACAATTACAATAACAATAACAAACTCAATTTGAAAGTACACTTACCTTGGTAAACGTGAACCATCAATGTGATTCTCAATGAAACTATCAGTATATTGAGGTAATTTAACATGATTAATTAGCCAATTAATTGTCTCATCAACTGACCATTTGGAAACTTCAGATTTCCTCCAAGTTTCCCACATTTCATCAACACTAATTGAACTATCGCCAGCATGAAGGGTCATCTCCTTTTTATCAGCCTCATTTCCCTCATTGGTTTTCAAATCTTTCACAATAAACTGAAAACATTGGATACAAGTAACAATTTAGATAACCAATAGAAAGAGAAGCTTAATCACTTTGCTAAAGATCTAATGATCAATACCAATTAATCAACAATTAATTATGATTAACTCACCTCAATACTTTCCTTCCTCTCAATGGATCCATTTTGATCGTAATCAATTTTATTGTGAATCTGTTTAATTGCCTCATAGCCCCAAGGATCCTTTAAATTAACCGTTATAATATCTTGATGTTGATTAGCATCATTTGATTGAACCAATGAAACCTTAATTGTTAATAGTAAACAAAATTTAAGGTTAAACAAGTTGATCATTTAAGGTTTAGAATCCGGATGATTATAATGAATCAATTAATTAGTTGATGATGACTTTGATTATTGTGACAATTGTTAAAACTAATTTACACCAAATAATAAACAAATTGTAATATGAGACAAGTAGTTAATTAGATGATTTTGTTTCATTGTTTAGATGATAGAAAGACTTACAATGAAAATCATTTCCAAGATTAATCTTAATGATGATGATTAATTTATTGTTGATTAGTCGTTGTCATGTTGAACAAAAGGCAAACTAATCATCAAGATTAAGGACTAATCATAAAAAAACGATTATCAATAAGTCAACAATCAATATCGATACTAAATCCATGATAATAAGTATGATTAGTTAGTCAACTTTGTTAACAATTAAGTTAAATCTCTGTTTTGAATTACATTGAATTGTTAAATTGTTTACATTGACACATTAACCTGGTTACAATTAATAGCTACCTGGAAATCAATTGGTAAGATTTAAATTGTTCAGTTGATTGTTTTTTTTTTAATATCAAGGTGACGTTTAGTTTTAATCAGCGATTTCAAAATAATAGATTGAAGTAAATTTAATCGACAATCAGGTTAATTACAATTAAGAAAGGTTAAATACTTAGATCATTAAGATTGTTTTCTTTTTTTATTGAATAAAAAACTTTCTCGCTGAATAAAAAAAAAAGATATCAGAGAAACCGGAAGGAAGGAAGATAAAGTAAGAAAGAAAGTTTCACTTCCGTTCCGAGTTATCTCCATGTAAGATACGATTTTCACCCATGTTTATATATCTCATGTATTCCAGTCTCTCATCTTCCAGAATTAAATCATTGCTGTTGTTGTCATGAAAGTAATTAATTTAATCATATCACTCACTGGTTGAGGTTATTAGTAATTAATCAATAACCATTAGGCCAAGACAAGGTAATCATTTTGTCATCAAATCAATTATCATGATTACTAAATTGCCTTAGGCAGATAATCATGGGAAACCTGAAATCCATCAGAGTCAATATTTATCCAATCATATTTAATTCATCATCATCATCATCATCATCAATAAAGTGTATTATTTCATGATGAATTAGCTGAGTAAAGAAGCAAAAGTTCAGTACTATTCAATGGAAATATCTAAATAGTTCATGAGCCAATTGAGAACCATTGAAATTTATCATGAAATTTCACCACTTGATATTCAATGGGTCACTTAGTAATTATTGATTCCTAATTCTGAGTTGAAATTTTACCATGATAAATTTAACATGTCATGATGATAATGATGATTAGGTAAATAAAAATAATACTCATTGAAATTGGATATTGTTTAATACTTTATCCAAAAGGAGACGATGAGATATTAATTGTTGATTGCAATCAATTCAAATAATTGCATCTCTATTTGTGTATGTTAGTTATCATTATAACTCATTGGATTAACATTAACCATTGTTGATTGTCAGGGTAAATGCATAAATATCCAGAGGAAGTTTCATTTTACTCAGAATCATGGGTTCATTATTTTTATCATGAAAAAAAAACTCAGATCATATTGATCGTACTGATTGGCAAATAAAATACTTGTGAGTAAACTGAAATGATATTATTATTATTATCATTGGAATCAATGGTTAACCATCAATAACTCTATGTGGTTAACAAAACTGATTGTTGATTAATTTTAAATTCACCCAACAATCAATTCTTAAACTGTTCAGACCTGATTGAGTGATCAATAAAGTGTAATTGATTAACCTTGACAAATTATTTTATCCTACGTGGTAACAAATGATTATCATGTTTACCATGAAGAAGATTTTTATTATTATTATTATTATTATTTTTTATGATATTCTATCGGCTATTGAAGCAAATATAAATGATTATCGTCATCAGTTGATAAAGGTTCTGGATTGAGAAATGAGTCTCATGAACGCTCATGGAACCGGAAGATAGTGGGATAATCCTCTTTGGGTGAACAACTTTTTTTCACCAGAATAAATATATAATCTAGAATGATGAATATTTTTCTCATCCTTGTTTGCCATTGTTCAACTTGAATATTTCATCATCTCATGTGAACATCATCATCATCATCATGAGGCTCATGGTGAACGAAAAAATCAACGGATTGAAAAAAAAAGTTCTGAGACAATAGATAATCCGTAATAATAATAATAATAACAAAATCTGATCTTTGAATATTTCCTAAGCTTTACGAATGAGCTTAATATTATCTTTATTTATCCAAACCACACGTTACGAATACTTAATCATGTAATTTCATGTAATTCTTGAACCATGAGGAATCGAACCTGTTAAATGTTCATGAACTTTTTCCTCTTTTTTTTATAATATAATACTTTCATCTTCCATTGTTACAATTTATAGAGCTGAAAAGAATTTAAATTTTAATTAATCTTTACTGTTCTCGAATTTACTTCTTTTTCAATCTATTTCCATCATGAATTCATTTGTTTGTCCCCCCTGAAAATAAATATTCCGAGTTAATTGTTACCAAATATTAAACTAATCTTACAACTTTAAAGGATCAGCATGATTTGAATTCAACTTGATTAAAGTGGTGGAAATTTTCAAGCCAAAAACACACACATATGAGTTGTGATACAAAATTATTAATTTGAATCAATTTAAATTCAATATTAACATGGGGAAAGAATCTGAATCAGGATTGAAAGAATGTTTCAAAAGAAAATCGTTTCTTTGAATACATATTAATAGTTATATGTCTATTCACGAAGAGTCAAATTCAGGCTTCAAGTTCAAGTCCAACCTCTTGGGTATTTTTTTTTCCAATTTTATGGTTCCATGAGTTTCTTATTCTGATACTGAACTGAACAAACAATGAATTCTTTGTATGTTTTTCCCTCTCATTCAGTTTGATTTTAAAATTATCAAAAGTCAAAAGTTGGTAAAATTGGAAGCGAGTATCACAGAAAAGAATCAACTAAACAGCAGCAACAATAACCAGGTATAAATAGATGGATTGAAAAGGTAGTCACAATTGGAATTAAATTTCACCGAGAATCAGGAGAGAGGCAGTAAAGTGGAGTATGAGGTTGATGGAGAGTCTGCCAGGTAATTCTGGATGAATGGATATCCTATCATATATAATGGAAAAACATTCACTTTGGATGGTTAACATTTAACAAGAAACTTTTTTCTTTCCAGTTTCATCTGAATTTTTATCATTCTTGTTTCATCTGATTCATTTTCCATGAACCTAAAACTGTCCTGGAATCAACATGATTCCAAGATGAAAAATGTTGAGGTTATTTTCTTTTTCTCCTCTCTCTCTCTTCTCATATCAACAATACATACAGTATGAGCCTTTCCATGGGCAAGGTTACAACTTCACTTTGTCATTTTCTGTTCTAAATGAAACTTTTTCTTCATACTTTTCTATCATTCTTGTCTTCCTTCATGATCGTCTCATGAATTCTTATTTTTAATCTTCTTTTTCCATTCCAATTGCATCATCATTTTTCATTCGAAAAAAAAGTAGTAACAAACTCTCTCACTTTCTCTCTAATCGTTAGCGAGAGCTTGAAAAAAATTCGAAGCACATATTTCTATCTCTCATTTACCCTGAAGGCTGATGTGTGATATATACTGAATTTCATGACAAGTGGGATTGCTTTTTTTTCCTTTCCTTTCCTGTAGAAAATTTCGTGATCACTTGGAAACTTTTCTTTCTTTATCAGATCTCGAAAGGTTTACATTCAAATCCTTGATGTACTAATATTAGTATCGAAGTGTTGAAAAGATATTAAATTGAATCTAAAATGATTGAAATTTTCAAAGAGAATTCATGTTAATTTCTGACTTTTTCAATTCTGTTCAGGGTTTTACTTTGAGAATTCAGTTTATACACTTCTTAGTTGATACTATATGAAAGTTAAGAACTTAATATTTCTGATATAATCCGGGATATCATATTAACTATTGGACATTCAATTCACCTTTTTCAAAGTGTCCAAGGACTATCATTGTGTATGATTTATGTTTCAACAAATTGTAACAAATTGAGCAACTTATCAATATGAATTAACAATCAGATTGACCCTGAGGCTTTTAAGAAGAGACGAAATTTTTTACTGATCCATTTTCACTTACTTTTCAACAATCATCGAGTTGTCCAGTTAAGGAATCTAAGTGAACTTATGATAGCTGATGAAAACTCATGTTACAATTGGTCAATTTTTTCCAACCATGAAGCAGAAATGAAATTAGAGTAATTGGATTTTCTTGTCTCGAACTTGTAAAAGTTTTGGAAAACTTTTAATATTAACAATCACATTATTAGACTCTCAAGTTAAACGTACGAAGCTTTTGCAGTCAACATATATTCAAAATCTTGGCCAGAGGCTGAATCCATGATAAATTTCATGGTGAAACCAATATTTTGAAAATTTGGCCTTCGAGAAAATGGAGATAATTAACAAGCTTGATTATTAAAATAGTGAAACTGAATTGAATTAAAGGATTTTAAAGAAGATACCTGATCACACTTGATGATAATCTTCTTATAGATAAAGTTTCACGATGTTCATTGAAAGAATCAGAATGAAGCTTGAAAAGTTAATTTAAAGTTTGGTTTCCGTTAGTAAACTTTTCCTTTCCGATAATTCAATTGAATTACATGTTATGAGGAATCAACTTAACTTTTAAAACGATAAAAACAATAGAAAATTAAATAATGAAAATGGATACAATGAGTAGGAATAGGAAGCGGGTAAAATAACGGTAAATATTATCTATTGGGAGTAAATGAAATTAACTTTTGAAACAATATAAGAGTACAAAAAGACTCAAATCCTTAATAGAGACGAAAAAAAGTTCTGAAAACTAAAAAGCAATTGAAGTTATTAAGAAAGCCAATAATCTCATTTGTTCAACATTTTCATCGACTAATATTGAAAGTGACTTCCTTTTCCGTCTCTCACCTTCCCCTCACCGTAAACATCATCTCATTACCCTGAGCTAATATTTTAGTTAGCTAAATACTGTACATATATTGTAGCTTCCGATTTACAAATGAATGAGCTTCCGGTAGAATAAGGGGAAGCTCAGCGTTGAAAAAAAAATATTGGAAACATGATGAGTAGAAGAGGATAAGATAAATTCACAGGGTAACATGAATTTCTGGCTTGTCTGATTCGTGATGAAACCAAGGTGTGTTTT